ACCCTTTCGCACGAAATGGACATTGGACGTCCAAAACCTAGGTAAAATTGCGATTTTGATGCGTCGCGCGCAACCCTTTCGCACGAAATGGACGTTGGACGTCAAAAACTGAGGAAAAATTGCAACTTTTATTGGTCGCGCGCAACCCTTTCGCACGAAATGGACGTTGGACGCCAAAAACTGAGGAAAAATTGCGACTTTACTTTGTCCATCGCAACCCTTTCGCACGAAATGGACGTTGGACGTCAAAAACTGATGAAAAATTGCGACTTTACTTTGTCCATCGCAACCCTTTCGCACGAAATGGACGTTGGACGTCAAAAACTGAGGAAAAATTACGACTTTGAGGTGTCCCGCGCAACCCTTACGCACGAAATGGACGTTGGACGTCAAAAACTGAGGAAAAATTGCGACTTTACTTTGTCAATCGCAACCCTTACACACGAAATGGACGTTGGACGTCAAAAACTGAGGAAAAATTGCGATTTTACTGTGTGTAAAAGCTTCTGTGTGTAAAAGCGTCTGTGTGTAAAGGAGTCTGTGTGTAAAAGCTTCTGTGTGTAAAAGCGTCTGTGTGTAAAAGCGTCTGTGTGTAAAAGAGTCTGTGTGTAAAAGCTTCTGTGTGTAAAAGCGTCTGTGTGTAAAAGCGTCTGTGTGTAAAAGCGTCTGTGTGTAAAAGCGCCTGTGTGTAAAAGTCTCTGTGTGCAAAAGCATCTGTGTGTAAAAGCGTCTGTGTGTAAAAGAGTCTGTATGTAAAAGGGTCTGTGTGTAAAGCGTCTGTGTGTAAAAGGGTCTGTGTGTAAAGCGTCTGTGTGTAAAAGTGTTTGTGTGTAAAAGCTTCTGCGTGTAAAAGCGTCTGCGTGTAAAAGCGTCTGTGTGTAAAAGCGTCTGTGTGTAAAAGCGTCTGAATGTAAAAGCGTCTGTGTGTAAAAGCGTCTGTGTGTAAAAGCGTCTGTGTGTAAAAGCGTCTGTGTGTAAAAGCGCCTGTGTGTAAAAGCTTCTGTGTGTAAAAGCCTCTGTGTGTGAAAGTGTTGTGTGTAAAAAGTTCTGTGTGTAAAAGCTTCTGTGTGTAAAAGCGTTTGTGTGTAAAAGCGTCTGTGTGTAAAAGCGCCTGTGTGTAAAAGGGTCTGTGTGTAAAAGCGTTTGTGTGTAAAAGCGTCTGTGTGTAAAAGCGTCTGTGTGTAAAAGCGTTTGTGTGTAAAAGCGTCTGTGTGTAAAAGTCTCTCTGTGTGTAAAAGCTTCTGTGTGTAAAAGCGTCTGTGTGTAAAAGGGTCTGTGTGTAAAAGCGTCTGTGTGTAAAAGCGTCTGTGTGTAAAAGCGCCTGCGTGTAAAAAGCGTCTGTGTGTAAAAGCGTCTGTGTGTAAAAGCGTCTGTGTGTAAAAGAGCCTGTGTGTAAAAAGCGTCTGTGTGTAAAAGCGTCTGTGTGTAAAAGCGTCTGTGTGTAAAAGCGTCTGTGTGTAAAAGCGTCTGTGTGTAAAAGCTTCTGTGTGTAAAAGCGTCTGTGTGTAAAAGCTTCTGTGTATAAAAGCCTCTGTGTGTAAAAGCTTCTGTGTGTAAAAGCCTCTGTGTGTGAAAGTGTTGTGTGTAAAAGCGTCTGTGTGTAAAAGGGTCTGTGTGTAAAAGGGTCTGTGTGTAAACGCGTCTGTGAAAGTCTTTGCGTGTAAAAGCATCTGCCTGTAAAAGCGCCGGTGTATAAAAGCGTCTGCGTGTAAAAGTGTCTGTGTGTAAAAGCGTCTGTGTGTAAAAGCCTCTGTGTGTAAACGCGTCTGTGTGTGTGTAAAAGCGTCTGTGTGTAAAGGAGTCTGTGTGTAAAAGCTTCTTTGTGTAAAAGCGTCTGTGTGTAAAAGCCTCTGTGTAAAAGCCTCTGTGTGTGAAAGTGTTTGTGTGTAAAAGCTTCTGTGTGTGAAAGTGTGTGTGTGTCTAAAAACATCTGCGTGTAAAAGCGTCTGTGTGTAAAAGCCTATGCGTGTAAAAGTGTCTAGTGTCTGTGTGTAAAGGCGTCTGTGTGTAAAAGCGTCTGTGTGTAAAAGGGTCTAGTGTCTGCGTGTAAAACCTTCTGTGTGTAAAAGCTTCTGTGTGTAAAAGCGTCTGTGTGTAAACGCTTCTGTGTGTAAAAGCGTCTGTGTGTAAATGCGTCTGTGTGTAAAAGCGTCTGTGTGCAAAAGCGTCTGCGTGTGAAAAACAATACGAAGGATAGGATGCAGACCAGTGTTTTGTACTTGTAATATATTGTCTTGATACTACTTGTCTCGCCTGCCGAAAATACATCTTTAATATATTGTCTTGCAATATAGTGTCTCAATACTAACAACAGAAGACCCTGCTCTCTCTCTCTCTCCCTCTTTCTCTCTCTCTCTCTCTCCCTCTCTCTCTCTCTCTCTCTCTCTCTCTCCCTTTCTCTCTATCTATGTCTCTCTGTGGTTGCAAGACACGTGTCATATGATGCCCTTTACCAAGCAGCACAGTGCATATGCATGGGTTGTCACATGTATCCTCTTCTTAACCAACCTTACTTTTCACAACTTACCCCTCCATAGCTCATATAAAATTCACCAACCTATCACCGACTATTTTTTACGACTACCATACTCAGAGCTGCTTGAAAAACGGCTTTTTCGCTCTCGGGCCAACCGTCGTCTAGTTTCTGCAAACACTGGTCAAGCTGGAAAACTTTGCAGGTTCATTCAGTTACGGTGGAGATCCCCAAGCTCGAACCGTGCTGCTGGCTTGTTAGCCTGACTTTGGATAGAGTTGGATAGGGCCTTTGACAGTACCAGGGCCAGCACCGACACAGCGATGCGGCCATGCTGATTTCCTGTCAGGAATTGCCTCTACGTCGCATCCACGGTAACTTCGCCTGGCCCACAGATGCGGCATCAGGACAATAGCCTCTGAAATTGGAAGAGATTTATGAAAAGTACAGTGAGTCTGCACGGTTTTGCGTGGTTTTGCTGGAGTGTGCAATGTGTGCTTTGCTTCTCTGATAGAGTTCTGTTGAACACAGCACTTTCAATGAGGAAAGTGCCCTTTGTGTCCTGTTTCTTCTAATTCTAGAAGATCAGTAGCTTAGGGCATCTTACGGCCTTGCAATAGCTTTCTTGATATGTCAATTCTTCAAGATTTTTGGAGACACGGCTGGTGAGCACCGGTGGGTCTTGTGCCATCTTTCTTGATCAAGGCCGGAGGCATCTCCAGACTTTGCCGTTTTGAGGGTTTTGACGTCTATGCCAATGCGATTCCGGGAGCTTTCTGTTCCGGAATCAGCGTGACCTGATCCGGAAAGGAGTAGCTGGGTACTTTTTGGTGCCGGGCATCTGAGGAGGCCCCCGCTGTTGTCAGTTTTTGCCTTTCACTAAAAACAACATCATAGACGAGGGGGGTAGGGGGGTGGGGGGGTGGGGTGGGGGTGGTGGGGTGTGGTGGGGTGGGGTGGGATAATAGCGTCATTTGCTGTACGTTCTCATGCACTTGCACACATACGTCATGCTACGCTGCTGTATGTTCTCATGCACTTGCACACGTACGTCATGCTACGCCGCTGTACGTTCTCATGCACTTGCGCACATACGTCATGCTACGCTGCTGTACGTTCTCATGCACTTGCACACATACGTCATGCTACGCTGCCGTACGTTCTCACGCACTTGCACACATACGTCATGCTACGCCGCTGTACGTTCTCATGCACTTGCACACATACGTCATGCTACGCCGCTGTACGTTCTCATGCACTTGCACACATACGTCATGCTACGCTGCTGTACGTTCTCATGCACTTGCACACATACGTCATGCTACGCTGCTGTCCGTTCTCATGCACTTGCACACATACGTCATGCTACGCTGCTGTACGTTCTCATGCACTTGCAGATCGTAGGGCGGGTGTTAGGTGGATGGTTATGGATATGTAAATGATGATGATGATGATGGTGATGGTGATGATGATGATGATGAAATTGCTCCTGATGCTGAAGTTTCGTTTTTCAGCGTTTTGTGGTCCCCCCTGTAAAATGTTTGAAAAGTGACAACAGCGGGGGCCTCCTCAGATGCCCGGCACCTAGTTTTTGACGGTCGGCTCATTTGCTAAGTTGGTTCACCTGATGTAGTTGAATGTTCACTGCTCAACAAGCTGCAAATAATGTAAACCTACATTGGAAGCAAACGGAGTTCAAGATTGCACGGGGCTCTTGCTGCTATTGTTGCTGTTGCTGTTGCTGCTGTTGCTGCTGTTGCTGCTGTTGCTGCTGTTGTTGCTGCTGCTGTGCTGCTGTGCTGCTGTGCTGCTGTGCTGCTGTGCTGCTGTGCTGCTGTGCTGCTGTGCTGCTGTGCTGCTGCTGCTGGTGGTGGCTGTTGGTGGTTGTTGTTGGTTGTTGGTTGTTGTCGTTGGTTGTTGTCGTTGGTTGTTGTTGTTGGTTGTTGTCGGCAGTTGGTTGTTGTTGGCAGTTGGTTGTTGGTTGTTGGATGTTGTTGGATGTTGGATGTTGGATGCTGGACGATGGTTGTTGTTGTTGTTGTTGTTGTCGTTGTTGTTTTGCCTATTGTGAACGCTCTTGATTTCAGGTACTTTTTGCAGGCCGAAGAGCAAGCTGTCCCAGCTGTGGACACTGACAGTTTTTCATCTCAGGCGGATCGGAGTTCTGGAGTTCTGTATGCAGAGAGTTGGTTTCCAGGCCTCTAATCGTCATGCGTTTGATTTTTTGCAATGTATTGAATGTATTTGAATGTGTTGTCTTCGGTCTATGTCGTTTGCTGATGCCGTTGCCCCTGCAAGACTTAGCCTACTTCCAGCTTGACCTTTGACATGTGTAGGGCTCTGCGGAAGACCATGCTCAGGAGCCAGTCCGGTCCTTGGTTTTGAAGGTGAGTGAGAGGACGAAAACAAGCCAAATCTAAGCTACCATGAGCCAGTTATGAATTTGACGTATACAAAACACATGTATATAATTGTGATGTGTGATTTGATTAAGATAATGATGCTGAACGTGCATACTATATGCATGTGGATATATGCATATATTTAAATATATGTATATGTATATATATATATGTATACGCAGATAAATAGATGATCCGTACAATATATGTACAGTGTACAGATGTTCTACATGTATGTCTATCTATATATATATATATCTGCATAGAAGGGAGAACAAAACAACTATACATACATAGAACAACTGCCTCACACGTTTGCAGAGTGAAACAACGCTGCTGGTTTGTCCTTCTAGACACGGAGTTTAGCAGGAAGAGGTGAGAGCTCAAGCAGTTGATTTTGAAAGACACGTCCCAGTCCTCGTAAGTCCATTGCATTGAAGGAAGAGCTTGTACAAATAGCAAATTTGCCATGAGCTTGAAGATTTCTTGCCAGAAAGGAGTCCAAGCTAGAATTTGGTTTGTGGGGATTAAAACTAAGACGTTTCTTGGTTCCTGGCTGTGGTTTCTGGTATCCCCGGATTGCCTTCCGCTTCACATGTTTGCATTTTCTCCGCTGGCCATGCCTTTCAAGGCCAGAGAGGATGCCATGAAGGCAGCAGTGGCAGACTCTCGCGCAACTGGTCAGCACCTCAGTCACGCACAAGACGATCTCGTGGACGATCTCATGGACGAAGTCCGAAATTTCAGCTCTATGGCACTGGATGGTACTGGAAGGCATTGGATGGCAGTGGCACTGGTATAGAAAGTAAGGCAAAATTATGGGTATAAAATGGTATAAATATGAGAGTTTGATAGTTTGATATTGAATTATGCAAACATGACCAGGGCGTATATACACAGTACCTGTATATAGTGAACAAGTAAAACAGTAGACAGTGGAATGCACCATCGACGCCGGATGCATAGATCCTTTCTGAAGTCTCAAAAGTCTCAAATCAAACAGATTGAACAGATCGACAGATCGAAACAGATTGCAACTCTTTGTCGAAGGAGGGATTTCGCCGTTTCTCTGAGTCTCTGACCATCCCTGACCCATCTCGACTCCAGGCTCTGCCGTCTCAGAAAGCTGTCAGGGCTCTGAAGTTTCCGAGAACTGGCCAGGCGGATGGTGAGATATGAAGAGATTGCGGTGAGTAATCAGAATGTTTGAGAACCCAAAGCCGACCAAATCCGACAAGGAGAATGCGGGACAGAAGTTGATCTTGGCTTCGACTTGAAGCTTCCCCCTTTTCTTGAGGCAAGGATGCAGTTGTTCAATTGCATGTGCAGTCTATTTGCACTGCTGAACAATGCTTGTCAAATATTCCAAACTGAAGATAAGGAGGACGCCTCTACTCGGAGATAGAAGAGAGACTGCACATCCAAGAAAAAGCACAAACAGACAAGCCACACCTCTGTGAGTTCTGTCCCTTCTAAGATTCCCAGGACATGTATGTTGACGAATCAACGAATCCCAGTTTTCTCGTCCCAGGACATGTTGAAGCATTGTTCTGGCATTGATTGCTGAGAAGCGGAGCGAATCAACTCGGAAGGAGCTTGGAGTCGCAGAAGGGCTCGGAATGACCCCCGCTGCACCTCCCTGTACCATACAGATCGGGAAGTCAGCTCTGTATCATAGCAAAGACTTCAACGTTGCATGCAGGACTTTCCAGGCAGTGTCGCTGCCGCAAAACATAAAAGATTTTCAAAACATCGAAGATATCAAAAACTGAAGTTGCTTTATGTTGCAGTTGTACTTGGAATAAGCCCAACTCAACGTTGAACTGCAGATGCAGAAGCATTCGTACTTGTCAGAGGTCTGCCAGGCATCCAAACAACACTGCTTGAGGTCCCATGTAAAACGAAGCACGGGTAAAAATATGTTAAACAAGAACATTTCCACGCGATTGAGGCAGAAAGCCTCCCGGCCATGAAGTGCTCAAGACACTGGCGGGTCCATAAAAATGTGGTGTGAAGCTACTGTGCTGCATCACCGAGGACTCCGGGCCCTAAAGTGGTAGCGTCACGTTTGACCACGTTAGCACTTAGCTGCTAGGAGTGTATGAAGATATTAAGTGTAGAAACTTGGATAGCTTGGACAACTTGGTCAAGTAGAGCTGCAAAGAAAGAGAACTGCAGCTGTTCACACTCACCCAGCAGTGAAGAAAGACATGAACCTCTCCCACAAGCCAAAACTCGCAGCCCAATCATTCCACAGACTCAGCAAAGCATGTCAAGCATAGAGGGAGCTCAGATTTCTTAGAGAAAGCAAATCTCATTTGAGTTGGGGCTTCTGCTTTGTTTGCTGCCTTCTGGGTGGCCGGTCACTTAGCAAAGCTAGGCTTTTGGGCTTTAACATGCTTGAGTATTGAAAGGGTATTGTCTACAGCAGTTGGAATTCTTTGAACACAAGGTCTCGCATGCGCTTGCCGCCGCATCGGCGGGAGAGGTTTCAGCACTTTGCTTTGGAGTGGTCAAATGTTTGGTACTTGTAGCGTTTGCAAAGTTTCCACACAGACTAGAATGCTAGAAGCCTACTCCAGTATCTCCAATTCTGGTCAGACCAAGGAAGAAGGAAAACTTGGTTTTGAGTTTGACCCTTTTGACTTTTCTCGTTTGCTCTTTTGCTTCGCTGGCAGGTCGCCATGGGCAACAACCTTGCAAGACTTGTTTTTCAGCCTCCTCAGTCATCGCTCGCTTCTGAACTTCTGTAAGCTCGGGTTGATCAAAGATGGATCAAGTCTCAAGTTCATCCCAAAGACAAAAGCCTTCACAGCTGCTTTGAACAAAGGCGAAGAACTCAAGTTCTTGGCTCTGTCATGCTCTGTCGGTTTGGTTTGGAAATCCTCGCAGCTGAGGTATGGCAAAGATCCAAACCTCTTTTGGTTGACTACCTCCAGAGAAGAGGCGATCCAAAACGCCAGAGTGGGATAGACATGATAGACTGACATCGTGCCGCATCCCGTCCATCCTGTGACATGCGCCGAATCACGCGGGCAGTGGTTTTGGTGTAGGTAATCCCAGCCTTCTACCTCCGGAAGCCGGACGCCTTGTAGGGATCCCAGCTGCGTTTCGTCCTATCACAGCGCGTAGTTGCTCTTGAATCTTGAAAACAAACAGGAAACAACTATTGAACAATTGAATCAAAGGGCAAGTGGCAGATCAATTTTATCACCCACGGCATCCCTCACCAACATGTCGTCTCCCCAATGCTTTTTTGGAGAGCGTGCATTCTGACTGTCAACTAAGTTTCACCTTGCTCTTCAGTCACGGAAATGCAGAAGATCTCGGCCTGATCATAAGGTGCAGTGAATCAAACAGTGAATCATTTCTGTAGGATCCAACGATTGCGTATGTCTGCATGTGAAGCCACTGTGCACGAGCACTTCGCAAAATAATAAGTACACCCTTCGACAAGTATCTATCATTTACCATTTCTCGAAGCGCTGGCACTTGAGCGTTAACTTCCAATTTGAATGATTTGCCTTCTAATGTGGATGAAATGCTGGTCTTGGGTTGGTCCATCAACCAGTCGCTGAGGGACTCCAATATGACATAATACCAGATAGTGCCCGGCACGCGCCGGGCGAAAGTTTCGAAAATAGGACAGGGCTTTAAGAAATCAATGGCCTATAGGAGAGTTTTGCGATGCAGAAGCAATGAAGTATTGAAGTTGTGCGGTGCATCAACGAATGAGGAAATGGTGGTTGAGATGCCAATGAAATGACATGAAAAAATCTGTGCACAACTGAATAATGAACCAATGAATCTATGAACCAATGAATCATTGAATCAGTGAACTCATGTATCAATGAAGCAGCGAAGCAATGACTCAATGAGTCGACCAAACCAGTGAACCAATGAATCGATGAATCAATGAATCAGTGAATCAATGAATCAATGAATCAATGAATAGATGATTCAGTGAATCAACGACGCAATGAATCGATGATTCAGTGAAACAAGGAGTCAACGCATCAATGCGTGAATGATTTAGCGAGCCGATGAATCAATGAATCAGTGAATCCCTGAATGACTGAAGTAGTGAGTAGATGAATCAATGAATCAGCAATGATTCAGTGAATCAATGAAGCAGTGAACTGATGAATCAATGAAACGATGGCTCGGTGAATCAATGATTCGGTGATTCAGTGAATCAATGAATCATGCACGGTTGAACTAGAGAGTCGATGAGTCGATGAAACAATGGCTGAGTGAACGAGCGAGTTGATGTTGATGAATCACAATGAATGAGTGAACCAATGAACCAATGAATCACTGATTCAGTGAATCAATGAATCAGTGAACCAGACCGTAGCAAGAGCTATATTCGCATTTCAAAATGTTGAAAAATAGAGGTGTTCAGAGCACTTTTGGAAGATGAGGTCGGCAAAATGTGCACAAGACTGTGGCGAGGGCTCGGTTTAACAAAAAACGGGAAAAAAAACCATGTTCGGAATGGTGCGGAATCGTCCCCATTGTCAGCGCTGTGCGAACATTGGTCAATTCCCTGCGACGCTCCTGCTATGCGGCTTTGCAACCGTTTCTGACAGAGCGCGCGCCAAAGCGTAAGTGATCTTGTGACGCTCCTGGCAAGCGGGATTGCAGCTGGAGGTTGCTAAGCCGCTAAGCGCAGTGTAAACGGCTGCGCGAAAGGTAGTTTTTGACCATTGTGCTACTCTTGTGCTATGTGGGATTGCAGCCGGAAGCTGCTAAACACATTGTAACAGCTACGCGCAGAGAAGACTTGGGTTGCAGAAGCTACAGAAGAGCCAGCTGGGAGGCAGCTCAAGAGCAAGAGTAGCCCAGATAAGTGGCTGCTCAGCCGAGAGAGGACGCTCGGTGAAGAACCAGGAGAACAACGAAAAGTAGCTCGCGCATCCATCCACTCCTTTATTTTTTCATCCATCCATCCATTCATTCATTGGTTCAATGATTCACGGATTCATGGATTCACTGATTCACGTGCGCATTTTGCCGACCTGACGGGGCTGTCAGATTTTTTTAAACATCTTGAAATGCAAATATAGCTCTTGCTCAGTCCTGTGCGCTTTTTGTCGATGGCTCTGCCAGTTCGAGCCCGGCAACCGCGGAAACAGAGACCCACCAGCCACCTACCCCAAAAAACACAGGGTTTCGCGCCCGAGAGCGTTTTCATCTGCGAATTCCCGCGCTTCCGAACTGTTACACTTCCCAACTGCTTGATGATGGGTGGTTGACATGATGATGTGGTTGACGTGATGGTGGGAATCCTGGCCATGACAATCGTCCGTAACCCGGATGTTTTTCTAACTAAACTTCCTTCGAACACATACTCTCCAGTTCCCTGATATGGACGCTGAAAATTGAGAAAATGTACGCACGTACTATGTTAGTTGCTTTTCTTACTTTTGGCAGCTGTGGGCCGAGGGGATCCAGGGTTCACTTCTCAATGATTTGTTAACATAGACGGTTTTAGGTTTGGGTGTACAGCCTTGGCGGCATTCCCGGGGAACTTACCAAAAATATGAAAATTTGCAGTGTCCATGTTGGTGGACACTTTTTAGCTACTTTTTGGAGGACCGCGTCCTTGTTAGCTAATTCTTGTTGGTTTTTACCAGATGCACGTCCATGTTGGTGGTACGTTTTTTTGGCCTCCACGTCCACGTCAATGAGAGGGAGTGTAGTAGCATATAATACTGTGTATTTATATATACACACACACATATGTACATTCACATACATACATATACAAACATACATACATGCATGCATGCATGCATGCATGCATCATTCATTCATTCATTCATTCGTTCGTTCGTTCGTTCGATCATTCATTCATTCATTCATTCATTCATTCATGCATGCCATTCACGTTCATTCCATTCACATTCATTCACATTCATTCACATTCATTCCATTCACATTCATTCATTCATTCATTCATTCATTCATTCAGTCATTATTCATTCATTCATCCATCCATCCATCCATCCATTCATTCATGCATTCATTCATTCATTCATGCATGCCATTCATTCATTCATGCCATTCATTCATTCATGCCATTCACATTCATGCCATTCACATTCATTCATTCATTCATTCATTCATTCATTCATTCATTCATACATACATACATACATACATATATACCTGTGTATTTATATACATACGCACGCACACACAAACACATATATGTATATATATATATATTCATGTATACACGCATACATATTATATGTATACATGTATATACATTGATATTCACAAACAAACAAACATATATATATACATACATATGTATACATGTATACATACATACATACATACATATGTATACATGTATATATACATACATACATACATACATATGTATACATGTATACATGTATACATACATACATGCATGCATGCATCATTCATTCATTCATTCGTTCGTTCGTTCATTCATTCACTCATTCATTCATGCATGCTTGGATGGATGGATGGATGGATGGATGGATGTATAGAAAGAGAGAGAGAGAGAACTTGCAATCGGCACGTGAAATTTCTTCGCATGTTTTGCTTCGCATTTGATAACACTCTGGGTGCTAGGTATTTCAAAGACGTGTCCCATCAGCTTCATGTCAACGTGTTTTCCTATGAGTGTCTTGGCTGCAGTTTTCTGAACCATGTCCAGCGCATATACACTTATCCAAATTTATCCAAATTTATCCAGAGTCACTACCTTTCGACATTTGGTTGGTACACTGGTGGCCACTTGTCACTTAAGTGGTGACATGTTTTGTCCTGACTGATGATGCTGTCATTTTGCGCAACATGTTTTTGATTGTTTTTGCATGCATTGCGTGACATGGTTGTCAGATAGACTGCCGAGGTACACTGGCTATGGCATGAGCACTGGCCAGCCGCAGGTTGAACATCAGACACTGTTGGTTGCAGTTGCAGAGCATCGTGACAGCATCACAATCTGCCAATTGGTGTAATTCAAACAGAAGACCCACGACCAAGCCTTCGTTGCCGCATCCAAATGAACTCCCGAATCCTTCAAACAAGTCTAGTCTAGTGTAGCTACTGGCCAGCAGTTTGTGCGCACAGCGCTTCAGGAAGCAGCTGTGTATTCAGACATTGAGGCTGCTTTCAAGAGTCCTGGTTGCAATGCAAAGCAGAAGTAAATTCAGGAAATGCACGGACATGCATGTCTGTTGAATTCTTGAGAGATTGTCTTGCATGCTGCCACTCAATATAAGGTACTTGCGCGAGGAACTTCGCCAGCGCCTGATTTTTTCAACTGCAATCAAGATGCAGAGAACATATCCAAAACCCGCTGGTTTTGCCTTCCTTATCTGCCTTGGCTCTTTGATGAATTGAGCATGTTGGTATATGTTGGTACATGTTGGCATATGTTGGTGCAATTTATTGCTAAACCTTTTTCCTTTCCCTACCTGTTCTGCCTGTTTCCAAGGCATCCCTTGGACGCAAATCGTACCATACGGTCGATCTATTGGCACTGCACCATCCATACACCTGGCCAGAGAGTATCCCGTTCGTGGTGTGGCCGAACACTTACTGCACTGTAGCTGAGCACAGAATTGGCAGAATTGGACATACTGTGGACATATTGTGGACATATTGTGGACATGTGTTTTGACACATGTCGTACTTAGTCGTGCTTTGCCGATCAGAAGTCTGTTCTTCCCAGATTCTGCAGAGTCCTATGGTGTCGATCTATCGAATACCGCTTCAGCCTGAGTTCATCAGTCAAGGCCTTGCACAAATGTACTGTATCAACATGTATGATAGAGACTGGTCCCGAACTGATGCTTCTTTTCGAAATCTATTTAGAACGGACATGGCGTATCCCTGTCAGGTTCCGATTGCGCTTCACTCTACCAGGTGACATTTTCACCAACATTGATAAGATTGGTGACTTGGCACTTCAGAACTTGTTACTTTACAATGCTTTGATATTCATCAGCCGCTCTGTCGAAGCAAAGGCAGGTTGGGCGGAATCCACACGATGCATAGATAAGATATGATAAGATGCCAAATCCCATAGTGTTTGCACAGAAAGACGTGCTTTTAGATTGGGTTGCTTTTTGCAGCTACTAACTACTGCTTTTTGCTGTTGAGCAGCTTTATTCCGATGATGGTTGGGGCACTTGCAAGCACTTCCCAGATCTTCAGTTTTTTCTCAGAGGATTTCGACGCTTAGAAAAACAAGAAAAAACCCTTCATTCATCAGATCTTGACCTGTCTCTGTCGCAGCGACTTCAACCCATTTACTAAGAACAATACAAAGAACCATGCCTGGACCTCTTCATGGAATGAGACTTCCCAGATGACATGAAGTTTTGAAGTATGTACTGCAAGTGTCAGGGCCCATACTTCAAACTCCCTCACACCAAAAATCTGACTCCAGAAAGATATTGAAAAGCCGTCTCGCTTTCTGGGCCGCCAAAAAAGAGACCACAATGTTTGAAACGGCCATTAGTTGAGGGTACGTGTGACATGACCTTCCGTTTGAAGCATCAGTTCAATTTCTCTTAGATATTCTTATATAGTAAAATGATGTAAAATGTATGCACGTATATATATATATATATATATTACTTAAGATAGTATCAATTTGAAATTCAAGGACACGTACATGCATCCATTTGGGCACACATTGCAAGGTCCTAAGGTAGGTATCGGGCATCGGGCAAAATTAACCAAAACTCAGTGGACCACAGATTTTGATCATCTCTTAGTATCAAGCATTTACTCTGGAGTACACACACCAATTTTGACCATTTACAAACATGTACATTTGGCGACATTTACTCAATACTGTAGATGTGACATGCCAAGGACCCACGGAAATCTGTTTTGCGGTGGTTGAATGAAATGGATGTGTGACATTGGATAGATCGGATAGAAGCATGTGGGCGAGCAAAGAAAAGCAACACACATATTTGGATGAGATCTGATGAGATATGAGAGCTTATGAGAACTTATGAGAACTTATTTTTTCAGTTGCAATGCTTACAGGAGGAATCGGTGAGGAACATTGACAAATTGAAGCCGTGTCCTTTTCTCTTGGTGCCTGAGTTTCGCCGGTGAGGTGATGTGTGCTGCCCTGTGTGCCTAGCCCAGCGCCTTTGCGCCTCTCAAAGTCATATGAGTCATAGGATGTCGTATTTTTTTTTGGTTTATGATCCTTGTGCTGTGCAGATTGCTTGTGACATGCGTCTGAGAATGCTGTTTAATTCTGTTTAATTCTGTTGTTTATACCATTCTGGTTATATCTGTTCTTCTGGATGCTTGCCTCGATGCCTCCATGCCTCGATGCGACGAGGTTCGTGATCCATGGCACCAGGGATGAAATCGTTCCTGTATGGCATGGGCAGGTCTGTTGTCAGCGTGTCAGTGTGTAGCAGTGTAGCAATGCACCCAGTATTCCATTTTCATGCTGTGCTTGTCCTGGAATGGGTCCTTTGGTCAACGCTGTGCAGGCTTTACATGAAATCTGTGTGAAGAAGGGCACAGCCTATGAACCTTATGTTCTAGAGGTGCATCAAGCTGCATCAAGCTGCATCATACAATCATACTGCATCATGTGACCATCAGAGACTCAAGATTCTGTGTAAAATTCTGGCATGAGATTGCACTCTCGCAGGGTGGTGATCACAACAACTTGGAGATGCAGGCTGATATGAATGATATGACGGACAGATCCATTGCCACTTGGATCACTTGGTGCAGAAGGGGATCTTTTTGTCCATGCCGATTACGTCTGATTACGTTCGAGTTGCAGGCTGGAGATGCATTCCTCGTGAGGATCTCGCAACACTGGCATGACACTTTTTGAAGCGGAGCCCTTCGAACTGCTGCATATTTCTGCGCATGTAGAAACATGATGACATGATTTGACATGATGTATAATGTTGGATAATATGATTACATGTCTACCAATTACATCTAATATCATCCTAATTATATAATTATATACATGTTTCATCATGTTTGCACACATGTCTAGACCGGTTTCCAGACCGGTTTCTAGACCGGTTTCTGCCACGGCCAGGGCCTTCCTCCAGCACCTGAAGCAGACACCAATTTCCGAAAAGCTACAGCGACAGGCAGCGATACCCTAGTTAAGATGAGCGAAGCTTATCAACCATGCATAAGAAATATCAAAGAAGATCAAAGATACTCGTACATGTAAATACATGTAAATACATTTCAGATCATTTCAGTACACGTCAGTCTTGACGTGAAGCCTGAGTCTCACTGAGCAATTCTGCTTCCAACCTTGTCAGCCTTAATACAGTGTGTTGGCAGGCTGAGAATGCTGGCTTCTGATCCCGTCTAGGTTTCATTTGAGCTTGTGGTGATCCTTCGTATGGTGACATTTTTGTTTTCGAGTTGTGTATTTCAGCATGCTGTTGCCTGGTTTCAGTTGTACAGCGAACGTCAGTCTCCTCAACACTTCGTGGTTTCAGTTCCCTCCTGTCTCATTTGTACGAGCTAGTGGCTCTGATTCACTTCCAGTAAGGTTGCGTTGTCTGTAGCAGGCGCTCATGCGCTGAACATGTCTCAGACAGCCTGGAATAGAAGGAAGGGTACAGTGCGGGACAGTACTGGTATGCCTGCCTGAAGCTTCTGGAAAAGTTACCTTCGGGTATCGTTTTGCTAAACTTTTACAATCTAGTGACTAGAACTGCATGATCGAGCGAGCATCTGGATTGTCTGCCACTGTCATTCACCGTGCTTGAAATGAATGGTTTCGCTACGGCTCAAAGAAAAAACACCGGTAGTTAGGCAGATCAACAGATAGCAGCAGGTCCAGACACCAGATCAGTCAACACACGGCAGTAGTTACCTCAGGATTCACTTGCAGCAGTCACAATGCGGTGTCTTTTCCAGCACCTGCTAATGGCGTAGAAGGCACCGGTTGCCCTTTACACTCGCACCACTGTTTGCAGGTTTCACGTTTTCGGAAGTTTCAGGCTACTGGCACAATTTTCGCCTGTTGCCTATACTTCTTACATCTTCTTACCAGTCCAAAGTGTTAGTTGTTTTTTTCGTTGCCGCCCTCTACACTACGCACTGAGACTGGAAAGTGCTTCGCATGATTCACACCGTTTTTCCTGTCCTGAGCACCACTAGGCCCTGCACTGTGAGTCCTCAACATCGCTTGTCAGTTCCGTCAAGCTCTTCTTTCAGTTGCATCCCTCCATTTGCCGGTGGCCACCCTATCCAGTTTGCCTCCTCATGGGGAGTTCTACGTCCGATCTTCTGTCACTTCGCGATCAGAATCATCAGAATGAACGCAGTGAACGCAGAACGGATTGCGAGACCACCTTCACACATCTCAATACATCTCACACATTCAAAGTCCACCCCATCAGTCGAAAGCGTCTCTCTAATCTGACTTCAATCTGCAATGCTGCCTATGCTGCCTTGGTATCGATAGCTGCCTTGCTCTTGTCTCCGACCGGCATCGTCCTCCACAGATTTGCGAGAATCTGTGAGAATCTATAGAATCGATGGATATAGATGGATTGAATATATCTAAAATTATCTAAATGTCATTTTAAGCTTTTAATACGACAACATTGCTTTAACCAAAGAGCACTCTGGCCGCACTCTGGCCGCACTCTGGCCATAAGAGTAGCGACTGGCCAGCTGTCAACCATCAAATTGTTCTGAAAGTGAGACATCGACAGCTGAGAGTCAAGACATGTCAAAATATGTCAAGACGCAGTCAGGACAGCGGGATAGTCACCCCAAAAGAGGACACTTTGCTCTAGGCTCAATAGACTCAAGGCTTACAGATGCTTACAGAAATTTGTGTAGAGCTTGGCTAACAAGAACGAATTGACCCGCAGGCTTTGTCATGCGCAATCTTTCATGGCCGCATCGAGTTTCTGTCCTCGGACGGAATCGGATGAACTGTTTGCTGTTTCCATAACATTTTGTCAACGGGCTTTGGCACTGCAAGTGTTAACTAATCCAATCAGGGCCTAATTCATCCTAATTCCACTTGTTTGCTTGGTGAAATTGAGGCCAAGATGAGCGGCAGACAGAGCGTGGCTCTGAGGTGCACATGTTGGAGTCTGGAGTGGAAAAAGACTGGGCTGGGGATACGCTGCATCGTTTCTGGATCAAAATAAAGACCTCTGACTCTGTGGGATGCATGGATGAAACATGGGTCGTGAGACACAAACACCATTTTCATCCATTTTTCATACATTCTACATTCTGCAATAACACAGACGGCCAGGAGACGAAAGAGCGACGGAAAGATTCAAAGGTAATCAGAGGCAAAGAGCTTCCAAATGCAAAAGGAAACCTTTAATTGAGAACCATTTGTCAATTTTGAGATATCTTGCAATATCTTGGAATAGTCATTGTGCCCTCTTCGAAGGTTGTAATGGAGCAGTTGATGCTGCTATGGCGGAAGCCATTGGCGAGGACCCGACGCACAATTCCGTACCATAGTACCACGATGTACCACGTCTGATTTTTCTCATGTCATTTGTGAACAGTTTGCATTGCAAATCATTGCCACAGGTTCTAGCTGAGGGCTCTACATGGATGCGAGATGGGACACTGCTCGCTGTTCGCACAGAGCTACAACATGATGCACCCATGCTTTTCACTTGTCTTATTGTTTCTCATCTTTTCTCATCTTTGGAGTTCTTTTCAATTCTTTCTACCAGTAGCCCTTTTCTTGTTGGTGGGGTGGCTCTTGCTACACTTTCTGGTAGCGTCCCTGAGCTAAGTCTTGGGCAGAGAAGCCGCCGGTGCAGAGCCTGGAATATCGGAAGCAAGACACAAGCGCTATGTGTGAATGATGAAGCCAAAAACATTCCTTTGAACATCTTTGAACAATGTTCAAGAGCAGACTAACACAACGTGATGCTGGATGCAAGCGTGATATTTTTAGGCAGGGTCCATTGCGAGAAAATCGGCGGAGCCCACGAAAAGGCACGGGTACTTTCCATTTGATGCGCTCTTAGATGAAGCTGGCCTATCAATTGGAGCATACGAGGAAACTGAGCAATTGCGTCAATTTCAATTGCTTACGCTGATATCATTTGATATTTGCATATATTTTCACAAGACATGGCTGGAATCCCTGGAAGTCAGTAGAACATGCTGGAACATATTGGATCAACAAAGCTCATGAACGATTCACTTCACTCCATGTTTTTCCTGCAATCTAGGCTCCAGACCGTCAGCACATCCCTGCGAGCGCATCGCAATGCTTTCCTGACACGGTCTTTCTACAATGGCTTGTCATGATTTCCATGCATTGCAAAATCATTGGATGCAGAGGTTGGAGTATTGGAGTGAAGATGAGTGAAGCAGTATCTTTGGCTTCCGCAGACTCCAGGTTCATCGTAGTTTTCCTTCTTCTATTGCTACTGCTACTCTCTGGTTTCTTGCAGATGCCGCTGTCTTATCTGGGATGTGCTGGAATGCCTCAAGAGAAATTCACGGCTCTGCAAAGTGGTCAGTTCCTATTCTCCACAAGAATGTTAGCTGTTTATCAGGTGCCATCGAAATAGACGTGGTTTTTCCCTCACTATCATTCACAGGAAGATTTGTTTCTCACGCTTATTCCTGTCCTGTCCTTTCTGTCTGAAATTGTGTTGACCTCATCATGGCCTAGCGGCTTAGTACACAACTTTGCCACGAGACGCTCGGGTAGCTGCAAAATGTTCCAAGGTGGTGGTTCCCTGGTCTCTATGCGTTTAACGCGTGGAACTTGGGCAGCTGCAGCTCCGATTGTAAATGCAGCTCCGATTGTAAAAGCACTTAACACATCTTAACACTCCTAACGATGAAAACAATGTGTTCCAAGCTTTTTCTTGTCGGTCATGAGGCCGGCAGCCAAACAGAGGCGAACCGAAGCGTCAAAGAATTCCCTTGGGCCTTGAACACAGCTGACGCAAGCTGAATCAAGCTGCAGTTTGAATGGGGCACAGCGGTGCTCGTGCTAGTGTCGAAGTACTTCCAGAAAAGATCTGAGAGACACCAGAAAAAGACTAAAACTTGCTCAGATTTGCTCAACCCTTTAAGAGAGAAAAACATAACATCACATCGATTTGTCCTCAGCCGTCTAGAAAGACGAAAACAGGATAAAACAGGACACCGATATCAGAAAAAGACATGCCCTGGCCCGAGGGAAATTGAAAATTTGGAAGAACAGCGGAACGTTGATACCTGTTTCAAGCATTTTCAAGCTACATTTGAAGAATGTTGAGAATTGGTGAGCTACAGATAAAAGGAAGGAACCTAGCAGGTGGGTCCAACACATGTGCATGACATCATTTGGAGGGAGTAATATGAGATTTCCGGACCCGTTATGATAAGTTGACAACTTGGCTTTGAACAGGAGATTGCAGCAGACTGACACTAAAATTCAGGCATATTCAAACCACAGGCGGTGGTATTGTTATCCGGATTGCATTTTGGCAACTTTTTGGAAGACATTCCTTTCCTGACGATTGCCAGGATGATTGCATGGATGATTCATGCGAAGCTTGAGTTCCTTGAAATCCACTTCCTCGTCAAAGGCACGTGTGTATCAACAATGCTTTTCCACTAGCCACATCTCCGACCGGTGTCCAAACAATTGATTTGCAAATGCAGAGCAAAATCTGTTGCATCCTGGCACTATGATGCTTCAAAGCTAAGATAGAACATCAAAGATCATCAAAGATCAACGTCATTCCAAGTTATTCCAAGTCACCTTCTTTCAATAAATTGCCACTGCACTTGGATCCTGAGCACCCAGCAGGTTCGCGAGGTCAGCTGAGTCAGCAATACCTGAAGCTGTTGCAGCAACACCTTCGGCTACTCAAGGTTTGAAAGCATTGATTGATAGACCATGTAGGCTCAACGTGGACTGTAGGTAGACAGAGGATAAAAAAGCGAGATGTTCTGAGTTCTGAGTTGTGTGTTTTAGCCACGCAAAAGCATGCAAAAGCAACCTAGGAAATATCCAATCGGGTCTCTCATTTGCTTTCAGCCGGCGACAAGTCAACTACCAACGAGCACTTCGGGAATGCGAAAACAGAGAGTGCTGTGGTTCTAAGCGTGCGTGGCATATGTTCGTTTGAATCCGCGTGCATAGTGAGGGGTCGCTCTTTCTCCTTTTGAACTATTCGAGTCATGCTGTGATCCTTTGCAGCAAATTGTGGGCTCAGCTTTGCAACCTGGCTTTGACTCTGACACCACGCCAGCCATGGCATCTCAGATGGCCAAGAAGATGATGGAAAGAAGGGAAAAGTTGGCCTTCGGATCCCTCGATGCCGTCTCCAAGCCGATGCCCAACGCCGCGAACTACGCGGCGGACGTTTCAAACACGGCCACAAAAAGACCCAAGTGTGACACCAAAACCAATGCAGGCAATGCGGGCAATGCAGGCAATGAAGACAGTGCAGAATCCATAGACAATCAGAGCTTGGTGCTCAGCCCAGTTGGACCAGTTCCAAAGATCTTGGGGCCTCACAATAAACAGGAGCTCTGTTGCAGCATGTTACAGCTATGGTTTTGCATGTCATTTGCATGTCATGTCCATGTCGTTTGCATGTCGTATGCAGGTCCAGACAGTGTCTACATGGCCCGGTTAAAGACTGACCATGAAGCACATACAAGCAGATGGCAGATCATCAAGATATATCAAGATGTAGTGCTTCACGATGCTTCACGACTTCATGACTTTCCTCAGTATGTGGTATCTCTCGGCTCTTGACAGGATATACAAAAGTTTGACATCTACACCCCTCGCATCGAAGGGATAGAAATCTCTACTCCACGTGAAGACGGGGAGATGCCAAGGCGAAGGACTTGCCCTCGCACCGGAAGGAACCAGCGGGCGCTTTGCATGACATGGTCTTCATATGTCTTCACCTACTTCACTGTGCATTCTCTTTGTTTTTATCTTGTTTTATCTTTCCATGCAAGATACACAGAACCTCACAGAATACCAATGAACTTTTGAATGAGTGACATTTGAAAGACATGTAGTCCTTTGTAGTCCAGAAATGTCCAGAAGCTGTCCAGCTTTGCCAAGTAGAGCCGTAGTCCTTTGAGAGTTGTTCAAGACAATGCATGGTCAGGACAAGTCAGGCCCGTGGAGCACAATGCGTGCGCCGAGCTGCAATGCGTTGTGACAGCATTTTTGATGGGATGATGATTCTGTCATCGAATGGCATTTTCAAGCCACAATTCCTGTTCCCACGTGTCTCTTTCCTCTCTTACTTGCCGAAATAATGTTCGGCCGAGCCCATCCGTTTTGCAGCTTGAGATCCAATGGTCCGATCAAAATTCATGATTTCTGCAATTTCAATTTATTTGTGTCTTTCCATGAACGCGCAGTCCGGCAAAGCGATGGGCGGAATTTGCAGAAATGCACTGGAATGAAGCATCTTTAGCCTTGGCAAAGTGCAAGCCAAAAGAATCACTGTGCTACAAATGTTGCCTTCGATCCAATCTCTGACCCATGTTGTCCTTTGTGCACTGGTATTCAAGCAGTCTGCCAGAACTATCAGAACTTGATTCTGACGCTTCTGTTTGTCTTTTCTTTTGGCGGTCAGTGCCATTGAGCAGGCTGAGCTTTCCATCCAAGTGATGGACATTGATGTCATTTGATGTCAGCATAGTTGATGTCGAGATATGTCGAGCTTGAGTGCAAGTGTCCACGAAGCAAAATGAGAAGAGCTTGCGCTCAGGATGACACTAGTCACTAAGGAAGCAATCTGCACTTCTCTTGTTCCAACCACTTACTGTATCTTTGTTGTCAACGCAGGCTTTTAGATCAAGAACGTTTCTATTTGCAGATCACGTGCTGAGATGTAAGATAAGGAGTTTAGCCAGATGGATATCCCAGAGAGTTTCTGCCAATTGGAATTGGACATGATGTGAGTATGTGTGTGGCGGTCTTATTGTAGTGCAAAGCAAAGTATCCACTGTCTCCTGCAATTCCTCTTGGTTTCAGAGGTGTTGAATCAGCCGAATCGTAGATGTTCTCATGGCAGACTTCTCTCCTCTGCGACCGATGCTTGACAAGACAATGGATCTATGCGTTACAGACTTGTGTTTGGCACAGCATATCATATATGTCATGAGAATTGGATGTCCTTTGATGTTTGATTACTCTTGATTCAGCGTTTGCTTCAGAACTCACCACGGGTGTTGCTCTTGGGAGTGTTTACCGCTTTTGTAATCTATATTTGTATCTGCAAGTTGATAAAACGACCGAATTAGAGATCAACTGATCAAGATGCTGTGTGTAACATTGTGTAACACTATTTGATGCGTGCAATTGCTTGCACACAGTAATTTGTCTGTTTGATTCTATTTGCACCTCATCTTGCCTCCACTTCCTTGCACTTGAAATCTGATGTTTGGTGACACGTTCAACATAAGGAAAAGCATTCAATTTGGCGCAGCCGAGCAGAAGTCCGAGCCTCGGAAGCCTTATCCAGATGTTTCAATTTGAATAGAATGGTCAGAGTCACGATTGTCGAAGCAAAACAGCTAGAATCTTGGACACTTTGCTTTTGTTAGCAAAGTGACTCACCGTTCTGTTGCCTAAAGGTGAACAGTGGAAAGTACAGCTTTCTTAACTTGTAAATACCTTTTTGTCCTGGATCCTTCGTACTAGTATGTGTTTGTTGCTTTCCCAAGCTTCTCAACGCTCCGTGAATGTGACAAAGGGAATTGAGCAGGCAAAGAGATCTCATACAAGCAGACCATGAGTGAGCAGCAATCAGAAGAATGACTTGAGAATGACTTGAGAATGACTTGAGAATGACTTGAACATTGTCGTAACATTGTCAATTTGTGTAAATTCAATCTGCGTGCCCGGGATTGGCCCTAGGCGATGCATTCTCCCAGCAGGTAGCCAGTCTCGTGGTGCCGCAGGCCTCGCCCGCCATCGTCTCTGAATGTGTTATGTCAGTTACTTTGAATCCACATACTGCGTGATTTGAATATAGAGCAGTATTAGTATATATATATATATATATATTAGTATTATTATACATTATATAAAATTATAAACCATATATTCCAGATTTTCCTGAATATGTTTGGATCTGTGCGCCTCCGAATCAATCAATTGAAACTGGGTCAGCAATCTTGCAATATGTTGCAACACTTTTCACGGAACACTTTGACAGAACACAAAGTTGTACCATGTTGGACCTACACCAGGATATCCTACTGCAGATGTTCCATCTTCGTCACCTGCTTACAGGGTCCAGAAATGTGTCAGTGACGTGTTGGGATTTTGTTTCTGAATTTGCTGTAAGAGAAACAGTGAAAGGTCCAAGGAGTCCAAGTCAAGCAGGCCTTGGCGCATGCGATGACTTTCTGAGAAAACAAACTTGGCATTGCGCAATTTGCATGTAAAAAAACAATCCTTCACATACTGTATCTGGATAGAGCTGCAAACCGCCGTGGCCCTCTGAGATCTGCCGAACCTTTTGAGCTGCCAGAGAATGTTGCGCACCGCCCAAGTGTCCTGCGGCAGAATGGGGTGAGCAATGAGGTGAGCGGGAGCGAGTTGGAAAAGTTATCAGTCTAGAGATGATACACAATGATACATAATGATACAATTATGATACATATATAATTTAATCATATATCTAAAATCATGATCTTGACTTGCTCGCAGAAGCTGAATATTGAAGTCTCTTTTGATGCAGCAGGCCAAGAAAGGAACTACTGGAACACTGCGGGGAAGGCTGGTGAGGAATATTTCTTATTGGTCCAAACCTACTCAAGTTACTCAAGCCATATATATATAAATGCAGAAGAGATCATAGAATGACTGAAACGATTGAGACAAGAACACAATCGGTGTTGCTTGTTTTATCTACAAGAATGCAAAATGGCATGGAACGGAGGCTTAGTTCTCGAAATCGCCACCCATCTTCTGGAGCAAAACTTGGGTTTAAAAATGTTTCAAAATAGATTTCTTAAAAGCATCAACGGAGTTAGTCCAATATGATCTAATCCTTATATTTGATATGACTCAAAAAAAACACCCCTATACACACACTAGACAAGAATGGATCATTATATGATCCGGCAGGAACTGAATCCTGTAACATGCAGATTAGACAGGAACCGAATTAATATACGATATATATATATATATAGATCACAGTAGACAATGACAGTATAAAACAACAGCGATAAAATATATTATATGTCCCCCCAGCTGCGTCTTAAATGCGCCCAGGGCGGGACAAGGCAGGTACGTTTACCTGATCTCCAGTGTGGAGCTTCATTGGCAGAGGCCACAACTGGAGATCCCTCTGCCCCCTGCCATATATATAATATAAGGACGAAGTTTTACGTCTATTCAGACGATACACACACACACACCCTGCCTCCGGCAGGGTGGTGCGCGTAAAAATGAGATGAAAATGAGGATGAACGGGGGATGAAAAATGAGATGAGAGTGAAAATGAGATGAACGTTACTTAACCAGGACGCGAAGAGGGGAACGCAAAAGAAGAGGGAAGGAGCAAACACACACCAACACACCTAGCCCGGAGCGGGCAAACCCTGAAAGGGCAAGGGGAAAAGAAAAAAGCGGAGGGTCGACGGACACGGACCAAGACCAGCGGAGGGGGGGGAAGACGGAAGCGCCTGAACCAACCTGCCAAAGCGAAAACCTACAAAAACCTCAGCACGCGACGGAGCCAACTTACCTGGGGAGGGAGGAGAGCATGAGATAGGGGACCAATGGGGATTAGTTGATGAAACCACAAAAAATTAAACCAGGATTCAGTTCCTAGACCTAGAATTCGTGCGATTGTGCCACAACAGGCCCGTGTTCAAGTCAGCCACAAGGGCATGAAACGGCTTTCAAGTTCCATCGAATTAGGTGCGCAATATGTTTCACCTCACCAAAAACCAAAGAGACCACACCTGCAGGAAAAGGACATGCCTGTTGCCTTCATTTGCTCATGCCATGTATCGTGTCAAAAGCTGAAGCTGCAGAGAAAACGCGGTTTCTGATGGTTGCGACCGCATTCACTCTGAAAGAAAGGCAAAATGGCGAGGAACCCTGGGACCAAAGGACCAGCGGGATATCTCGAAAAGGCTGAAAAACCGCAAGGCCATCTGTTGCACTTTACTTAAACGAATTACCAAGTTAAAATGTGTGAATTCAGAATTCAAGTCAGTCGACATTCACCCTAAACAGGGTTGCCTCAATTGGCCCTATGGCACCATGTCGGAGTCACCATAGGAATCACACTAGACAAGAATGGATCATTATATGATCCGGCAGGAACTGAATCCTGTAACATGCAGATTAGACAGGAACCGAATTAATATACGATATATATATATATATATATATATAGATCACAGTAGACAATGACAGTATAAAACAACAGCGATAAAATATATTATATGTCCCCCCAGCTGCGTCTTAAAAGCGCCCAGGGCGGGACAAGGCAGGTACGTTTACCTGATCTCCAGTGTGGAGCTTCATTGGCAGAGGCCACAACTGGAGATCCCTCTGCCCCCTGCCATATATATATAATATAAGGACGAAGTTTTACGTCTATTCAGACGATACACACACACACACACATTTGCACTTTAAGAATCTTTGACTTGTGCGCTGCCGATAATGAAGCACCTTTGTCGGCACTTTTATACATGCCATGACATGCTCTTGAACGCAAGATAGTACATGATAGTACGTACATGTAGATGATGGTAATGATATGTATATAATTTATATAATTATAATGTATACACACACACACACGTATGTGTCAGTCATGCAAAGACACACAGGCTTTGCATACGTGTTTTGCAAGTGTAATCTATGTACATTTCTTGTGTACATACTTGCATGTATCTGAAGAGTGTATACACAGCATATGTACATGTGTAATAAATAAATATATAATTATATATATACTTACATAGACACAAAAAAATATAGGTAGATAGGTAGGGACACAAACCCTCTTGTACTGTGAATGTTTATCAGCTTGACCTCCGTTCACATTCATCAACCGTAGCGGGACGGCTCCAAATCAAACACTTGTACCCCTTGTGCCACCTAATGCTCTTTTGCTTCAAACTCTACACGATATGGGGCTTGAACTTAAGTTTCCCCAGGAAGCGAAGGGCCGGTCTTACAGGTGATGCAGAATGCCTGGCAGCCAAGAAAGACAGCAAACGTAGTAAACGTACGGTACAGATCTACTATGGGGACCAATCGGATTGCAGTAAAGAAATTTGAACAGCTTCGGATGGTCAGACGCGCATGACTTCCAGAGGCCAAGCAAAACCAAAGGCGAAGCGTTTGTGTTTGCGGCTCACTGGGTTGGGCGCTCTGAACACAGAGGGTTGGGTCGTACTTCGACTCAGACCTGGCGTGTTTACTGAGTTCATCCGAGGCCAGAAAAAGCTGCGGCGCGGAGAAGAAGGACGCGAGAAACACGAACCGATTGGGCCCAATAGACAGTTTGGTGCTGACTGCTGGCAAAATGTGGATACCTTTGGATCACTTACCTGAAGACGACGCGTGCAATTTTGGTTCCTTTAAATCCCTGAAGTTCGAGCAGAATTTCCTTGGGGATTGTATTGTATCGCCGCGCCCGGAAGACCCTGGAAGAGAGAGTTGATACCAAAATGAAATTGCGGAGCTTCAACAGGTGTTTATATCTATTTATATAATTATTTATATTTGATACATTTTGGCTTTAGCACGAAACAAGATGCAGCCCACGAACCCGAATGCTCACATGTATGATAATGGTACGGATTCCGAAACGCGTAGATAGGGAAACATCATAGACTCAGAGACGTGAAAGAATGTAGAGTGTGGAGTGAAACGTATAGAGTGTGAAGTGCAACGTGTAAAGTGTGAAGTGTGAAGTGTAAAGTATAAAGTGTAGAGTGCAGAGTGTGGAGTGTAAAGTGTAGAGTGTAAAGTGGAAAGTGGAGAGTGTAAAGTGTAGAGTGTACAGTGGGGAGTGTAAAGTGTGGTGCAAGTTTTGTTATTTATTGTTCAAAAAATGTTCATGGATCAAGAACCGACCCCTCGAACTAAAATAAGGTGTTGAAATGTGTCCGAGGTGTTCTATAAATTTTCTATACACGACGATGGTTTTGTTGTCCTGCCATCAGTGAATTTGGAAAGGAGCAAAATGTAACAAAATTAGTACTTTGTATTTTTGTTTTTCAATTGTAATTCCACAAGAAGTTCGCAAGAAAAACCTTTGGACATATTCTGCCAGGCAGCAACTTGCGAAGAAAGCTGTTTGCAGACGGGTGGCCCTGTGGCGCTCCAGGATTGGCGGTTTGGCGGGTCTTGTAGAGATAAGAGATTGTGACAGGTCATGACACGTGTCACGGTGATGATGGTCCTGTCATGTCCTCATAGCAGGATGGTTGACGGCGAACAGTCTGCCTCGCATGTTTCAGGGATATTGACAATCCTTTGGGGTCAGGGTGGAGCAAGAGCAAGGTGTAAAGAAGACATGGGGGCAGCTCCAATGCAGCTCCAATTCAAAACGGATCTCAGTCATGGCTCAAGAAAGTGACATTTCGAAAACTTTCGAACCTATTCAATTGCGTCTTGGTGCTGCAAAACTTTCTGCGAGTGCAGCCAGGCAAGTGATTTACGTGAGCCTCAGTGGAGATGTGTTGAAGAAAGGTGGCAGGCCATGGACGCCATGGCCAGGGAGTCGAGTACCTTTGACATGCCATGGAGTTTTCGGACACGGCCTAGGGCATTCAGAGTTGCCACTGCAGATCAGAAATACCTCAAGGCACTGGCATGGCACAATGGCATAAGGAAGCAAAGAGAAAGCAAAGAGAAAGCAAAGAGAAAGCAAAGAGAAAGCAAAGAGAAAGCAAAGAGAAAGCAAAGAGAAAGCAAAGAGAAAGCAAAGAGAAAGCAAAGGGTGTCCTTTTCTCTCTGTGTTGACGCTGCGCGTCTGAAGGCAGTTTGATTCAATGATTCATCAGATTCCACCTTAGGTTCATGGTGTTTTGAACCGACCAGCAAACTCCTCGATTGAAGCGCCGGAGGAAGGGATCATGGATTCAAGGCTAACTTTGATCAGAGCAGAGTTCCAATCTTTGTTGCACAATGCTTTGCTGTACTTTGCTTAGTATGCTATGCTTTACTACGTGCAGTCATCTGGTACTATAGCCTATAGCTTTAATATGATATGCTTTAATTATTTTTGAGAGTAGCCTTGATTTCTTTTTACTTCAGCCTTCATACCCGCAGTGCTTTGCTCTTTTGATTCTCAAATCACATGCCTGCGTATTCCGACAATTTCTGCCCACACCCTACAGGAAATTGAGCCATATGCGACTCGACGTGGAGACAATCCACTGGACCGGAAATGGATCAGATTCATTGTGTTCTTTTCACTTCAATTCATTTTGCATAGACGAATTGCAGACTATCAGGCATTTTCAGACATCACTTGTTTGAGGAGCTTTCTTTTTGGTGCATACCAGAGTCAGTGGAGGCTGGCTTAGGCTGCTTCGCAGCCAGAGCAAGATCAGGGAGCTTGTCTCAGGCCTGCTACCGTGATGCTGGCATTCGACGATTGCACCAGTGGCAAGCTGATTGCTTGAGCTGTCCAGAGGCTGGGCATAGCTGAGAATGGCATTTGGATCTCCAAACTTCGAAAAGAACTGTGTATATGATATTTTTATATATTTTTCAATTTGAAAAACATTGAATGTTCCATTGCGCTTTGTTTGATTGCGCAGCGCCAAAGGTGTTGTCCGGAAAATCCTTGGTCTATGCAGAGCCCTGAGCTAGTCACCGCATTGAAGAGACATGCTCCGTCCAAAAAAAACTTGTGGCGCGTCATTTGGAGGTGGCGCCTACAAGTGCTGGAAAATCCTTGGTTTCTGAGGCTCCGGATTTATATATAATTATATACATATATATAGATATAGTCAGAGAGACAAAGTTGTTACTATGGTGACGGCCTTTCGTTCACGCCTTGTTGTCAGCAAGAATAGGATCCTGAAAGGTGTGCGAGGTCTTGGTTTGCAGTTGTTGTCAGAAGTTTGCTCCTTCGTTCCGTTGGCCACAACGCAATCGTAGTGTTGACAGTCTGAACATCAAATCTACCTGTACCTGGAGGTTACATTCTGCAGAATAAGTGTCAATCGTCAGGTTCTGATGCTGCGACAGCTTTTGTTCCGAGGGCGACGTGCTCTAGTTATTCTGCCCTATGCCGGCTTCCCAGATTACCCCTGCCAGAGACACCAGCACAAAGTGATGCAAAGTTTATCGCCCATCAAGGGATCTCTTTCAGTGTCGGCATCGTTTCGCTCGGAGTGTTCTTGGGACAAGCACCGTGACGGTTTGCTGTGTGACCATTCTATTCCAAAAGGTTGGCTGGTAGATGCTGGTAGGTTTTTCCCTCAATTGCAATGAATATGGTGTTATGGAGATTTATGGTCCAGCTATTGACCAACTCGTTCCTGCATGGCAAAATTTGCTGCCGTGGGTGAAAACTTCATTGAACGATACTCGTACCGGGAGGTTGAGCAGCTCACAATAAATTGCAACTACTCCGCAAAGGCTATATTATATTATATTATATGACCTCTACAAGGAACATAATGGAAAACATTCCATTTTTCTCAAACTTTCGATTTGGTCAGACATTGTTCACAGGTGCCTTGATCACAGAACTTCAGCTTCTTATCCTTTCAGTGCGTTTCTTGTACTACTATCTAATTTACTGATCATCTATAGCGCGGACGATTGGAGCACTCGCGCACGGCGGCAGCAGTGCGGCGAGGCCAGTCTTGAGGTGAAACAGCGGGCTGTTTTGTACACACATCAAAGATGGGCGAAAGCTCTGGTTGGCCCTCACCCACCTTCCGAGCATAGTCCACAGGCCGCTGCTGGGCATTAACTTGGGCACCAGACAAGCGCAGCTGGTGACAATTATTTTGTTGGCAGACTGATGCTGCCAGAGGAATACCACGACTTAGGGGACTCAACAGCTGACAAGAATCGTTTGACAAATCAAATTTCAAATTAGCAGGCCAGGGCGAGAAAAACACAAAAGCTGTGCGACCCAAGCCTGAGCCTCAAGTCGTGCAGGTCAGGTCGAAACAATGGATCTAGAAATAGGGTGTGTTACGACTTTTCCTCCATGTCTTCTTCCGCTTCGTTCATGTGGCTGTGGTGCCAACCAGCTGCCAAACTGCTAGCAATAGCTCCTATGCTGAAAGTGGTGAAGTCTAGCTAGCAGCACGCCATTTTCCTTACAACTTGCATGTCCAATGCCACTCAAGCTGAGTTGCTACGACTGAATCCGGACCGGTCAGGCAATCACTGAAGCACGCGCACCACCATGACCAAAGTTTCTAAAGGAACATAGAAAGGGTAGCGATGCAAGATTGCACCTTCCAGATTTCTCGTCACAAAAAGCAGGGTCATTGGACCGGCCATATGCTACAAAGGTTGTGATGCACAGGACCCATAGCGCAAAGCTGGAAGTCAGCAATGTGACGCCATTGCAGCGAGAGTTATGATCAGAACCAACATACCAGTAGCCACTGAATCCAGTGGCATGCCACCCAGCCAGACTTGAAAGTATCAAGGTAGCCAAGGTCAAGTGGTCGCTGATTGCCCTTGGAAACAAAGCAGTGCCCACCGCAAGGGGAAACAAAACATGGCTCTGGTCAAGGTTCTGCCGTCTCAGCCGCACCTCTGGAAGGACTTGACCCATCACGGCTACTGATCATCTATACAATACGGAAGGTACTGCAGATGAGCAAAATAGATCAAAAGAGCAGTTAGCTCAGCTAGCTGCTAGCTCTGTGGCCAGATCGATTCATCTTGCCAGATCCGTCTCGTCTGCGCTGGGGTCTCGTGCCTCCATGAAAGGGTACTCCATGGTACTCCTAAACCTCTTGGACCTCTGCTCCCTTCCGCAATTCTTTCAATCAAACCGAGAGAATTACAGGGATATGACATCGGATATGATATTAATATGACATGATATGACTTGATTCCATCTGACCTGGCCCTTGAGTTTTACTTGCTGCTTCAAATCTGACAGGGCGTTAAGCGATGTGAAGCGATCTGAAGCGATGTGAAGCGATGTGAAGCGATGTGAAGCGACGCTTTTGCCCACCACAGGTGTCGATATGCGAAGAGAGGCTCTCGCAGCTTCGTGCGACACACGGAGCCTGTGGCCAGGTCCCAAGAAGGAAGGTCCCAAGAAGGAACACTACATCACGAGACATCACCAGAGACACAGCAGATGATAGCAGATAGCACGCAGATAGCACGCAGATAGCACGCAGATAGCATGTGGTACTGTATGTGATGACATGTGGTAACAGTGGCTCAAGGTTTCAAATGCTGTGCTGTGCCATGTCGTTATGTCTTGATATGTCTGGATCCATCGATTGTTTGGGTAAGAACGTCAAGGTCTGCGCGTGGAAGGTTTGTATTCCTCATCAGATGGGAAGCGCTTTCCTCAACTCTACTGACTCAGACTGACTCCCTGCAGGGCATGTGACAGTCACGTGACTCACGCGTTTCCTTTCAGATGTGTTGGTCAGGTGGCATACCGGAGCAGATGTTGCAGTTTGCACAATCGAGAAAGGCAGCACTCTCTTGAACCGCTTGCTGGAGGAGGGTTCTGACTGATCGTGTGTTTTGCTCACACTTTTCTCGAGAAACTGTGGGACCATGTGTGGCAAGAATGTCCCTCTGAAATCTGACGAATGTATGAGAAGGATGACGCACTTCTTCGAGATGTCGGGGTTGTGCCTTTCCCAGCATGAGGCGTTGACAAAGGAAGATTTGGCAATATTTGGCAATCGTGATTGCGTTTGATTTGGCCATGGATCTACCCTTTGGCTGACTGCCAGTGAGGTTGTCGTTGATGAGATGCACTTGCTTGGCGAGGATTTGCCTGGCCTTTGGCCCTTGGTGTGGTATTTACTCAAGGATTGTTTGGATTAAACTGGATTATGCAGAACTCGAAACTGGCATCCAAAAGGAGCACCGTGGCTACTTGCTAGAGTTGATTTTGATCAAGTCGAGATTGAGTGCCATGTCAAGCGCACCTGCCTCAGAGGCATTGGATTTGTCCTGTTTGACAACTAGTGATATTGTGTACAAGTAGATTAAGAACGGCTATATAAGAAGACACAGCGCTGGCACAACTTGCATTGAAACACGGTGCTTGCGCCCAGGCACCCACGTCGCAAGGTGCGGCTCCTCCGCTTTTGGTGTCATGTAATGTTGGTAAATGTTGATAAATTTGATAACATGTATTGTATTCCAAATATTTTGAGATGACCATAGACAATCATAGATAATCAGAAGATATCAGAAGTAATCCTAGGGTCCTAGATACGCTGAAATAATATGAAATCGTGATATTTGCTGCTGTTTGTAGTAACTTTCACAGAATCTCAGGCGGAGGTCTGCAGATTATCGGCCTCTCTGCAACCATTCCCAACGTGCAACTCCTTGCGGACAGGGCACAAAAACATGTGACATGCCCATTTCATTTTCATGGCTTTGATGCTCTGTCCCTGTCGCAGGACTGGCTTGATGCCCAGCTCTACATTTGCCACGATCGACCTATACCTCTTACGATGTCAGTTGCGCCCAAGCAGGCAATGACAATGCAAACGGATCATTTTGCATCCACGATGTAGCCGGTAGACTGTTAGAAGATCATTTTGCCGTGGTCAGGCCACATCAAGTATCCCAAGAGATCCAGATGGCCTAGTTCCTTTGGTTCAGGACAGACTGATTGCGGATTCAATTTTCTACAATATGCCTCGTCACAGATCATAGCAACGGGGAGACTTACGCCAGGAGTGCGTTTGCACTGGTCAGTCCGTGCTAATCTTTTGCGCTACAAAGGTGCTGCCAGTGCATGAAGAGTTTGAAATGTAAATTTGAAGCAGCTTGTAAAGTCGGTTTACCAGATGGAGGACGACGATGGTTTTAAATCGTATCATATCACCTTGCTGTGTGATGGACATTTGCACTTGCAGTTGCTGTTGCACCTCCCGTTTGCTACGTAGCGAGAGGTTACACTGGACGTATTGGTACATTATATTGCACATTGCATCAAGGATGATACCCGATAGAATAGTGCCCAAGAAATGCATCAGTAAGAGCGGTGGGGGTAGCTGATGCTTTGCAGGATTGGTGTGAGAACGCTGCAGCACTCTTGGCGGATGAGCTTCCAAAACTGTCATGCGGAGGCTTTGCCGTAAATCATCGTAAACACGTAAACATCGATATTTATGATGTTGGTGTATGTTTGCGATGCGTTCCCTCGCGACAGAAGACAGCCTGGCCAGGCACTCCCTTGCCAGGAACAAGCGAGGTGCGGGATTCAAGGAATGTAACGCAAATTGGTGGTATCACAATTTGATGCAACACGATGCTTCTTGTGACTAATGTGGCAGCTGTCTTCTGCAATTGATGTATGTGACAGCTTCATACATTCTTAAGTTGTAATGTAGGATTTCTGTCACAGCTGTGGTTCGTTGCAGGAAAACCAGACCAACAGGTGCTGTCCTCTGTATATCTGTGGAAGTGGCAACCTTCGCAGCGTTGGATTTCCACTGAGGGCGCGGTTACTAGAAGAACTCAAGCAAGCGTCGGGGCCTCTAACGATCAAGTCACACTTGGAATCCGCCCGCACCGAAGGTGCCAAGGCGTTTTTTGTTGGCACGCATTTGGAAGCAATTGCAATAACTATTCAGCTTTAGCTTGGACTATTTTTGCTCTAGAATCGAGTGTTTTGCCAAGTTTTTACAGGGACCTAAAATCGGCTAAGTTGCCAAACTTGGGCCCAACATGGGCCCAACATGGGCCTAGCATACCTCAACATAGGCCCAATATGGACCCAAAATCGTCCAACATGCCTCAACATAGGCCCAACATGGGTCCATCAATGTGCCCAACACTGCCCAACATAGAGCCAACATGGGCCCAACATACCCCTAACATGCACCCTACAAAGGCCAAACATAGAACATATTATGGTTCTACTTATTGGAACTCCGTAGCTAACCCTCCACCCTCCGGTGCGGGCGGTTGTCGTTGCGAAGCGACCAGAATTACTATGAACTTCGAAATCCGGCATAGGGTCGAAAGGAGCAATATCAAAGCCAACACTGTGCATTTGTACCTTGTAGACACTGATGTCAAAGGCAACCGTTTGACGTTAAACTTGCTTTTCAAGATAATTTTAGCATTTTTTGACCAAATTCATGGCAGTAGGCCGGCGGGGCTTTGCCAAATACTGGCTAAAACAGTGTGGTGGCCTTGGTAGTGAATACCTGGAGGTGAATTGGTAGTGGCATTTGACACTGGACAGCGTCTCGCACGCTCCGGCCATCGAAATCGACGTTGCAGGAATTATACCTGATCTCAGGCCCAGCGGAGTGGCCTACCATCATGCAGGCACAAGTCTGACAAGATCTGACAAGATCTGACAAGATCTGACAAGATCTGACAAGTTAAATCAACGAAATCAAGTTATCGACTCTAAGCCATTCAAAATGTTCCTGCAACATCCTGCAACCAGCCTTTTCACATCATGTTGCGTCCGCGTAAACTTTGATCTGCAAAATATCTGTAGGCCTCACCGTTGAGGAACGGCGGCTTCTTGAAGAGGCATATAGAAAGGGTGTGCTTTGTCGGGCCTCCAAAAGATTGCTACAGAATGCGTCGGAATCCAGAGACTTCTTCAGACTAATTATATACATCTAATTACTACAAACATCTTTGGACCAAAAGAGTGACACCACTCGACGCCAAGCAAAGACAACGCCATGCTTAACAATGCTCAGTTTGTATTAGCTGTTCAGTACAGCATTTTACAGTTTCATGCTGAACGGCATGTTTGGCTTCCTCAGCACTGCAGACTGCACTCGACCATCTTAGGCTGCCTGTGTGCAACTTCTACTCTCGCTGCAGGAGCCCGGAACTCATCGGCAGTACGCCTGTAAGCTTCATCACATATGTCTAGGACGTATGAGGACTCTCCAGGTGCAACAGAAACGAAGAACTACTTAGGGACTCTTGGGGACTCTTAGGGAATGAATGTTTGTGGAGCAGATCTTGAAGCAAAGAAGATTGCAGCGTTTTACGGAGCGTTTCGGATGCTTTTGTGGGTGAGAGTGATTGAGTAGGCTGGTACTTGTGCGCAGAGGGTTGCAAACTACAGCCACTTCAGAGCATGGACTCCACATACCTCTTTAGCCATGGTTAGGTGAATCTTCCAGCCCGCCGAGTTATCATCCGCTCATTGAAGGCCTTAGAAAGACCGGCAATCGGCAATGTTTGTCATATATTGTAACTGTGCATGAAGTAAAGTTACAACATGTTACAACGCGGTTCATTCATGCTGTGCACAAGAGATGCAAGCCTGTGCAGCCGGTGTTCTTTTGAAGACCAATTCTGTTGGACTTGCTTTCACTGCTTTCACATTGGCAGCTTTTGAATGTCCAGGTTGGAAGTGAAGGTCTGGATGCTGTTCGATTTCGACAAATGGCTGGGTGAAAGCCTTATGCAAGTTTGCATGTAGCTGAATTACAGTAGCTCAATTAGCTCAATACACTTCTAGTATTTGGACCGTCTTAGACTTGCTGATTCAGCAGACATATGTACTGTTACTAAGGCGTGCTGGTCGTGTAGGCCTTGATACCAAGGCCTTGGCTACAGCGGAACAGAAGACTGCACACATACTGTAATCAAAGCATACAAAAGCAGTATGTATGTAATCGGAGCAAAGGGATTCAAAAAGGGTTCATCACCTTGGGTTCCGAGAATATTGACCAAATTCATGGATGTATATATAATGTATAAAAAGATATAAAAAGCAAAATCATATCCTTGGAGTCCTTGGAGATTCTAGAAAGAAGCTGTCTGCTAAGCGCTGAATCGCTCGCTGGTTGTTGAAAGGCATTAGCCACTTCCGCAGTGCAAGAAGCAAGCCAAGTTGCAAATTAGAGTCACTAGAGCACATGGAAAGCAGTTGGAGACTGGGGATTTTGCCTTCCTAGGGTGTCAGACTTGCCCAGGGTGAGTGCATTGTCATGACGAGATCGGCAAAAGACAGGGAAGAGGCTCTGCAAGATCTTGCAAAGAACATCCTACTGGTAGAACATCATTTTTTTTTCCTGAAGCTGAGAACACTTTGAGCTGTAGACGCTGTGCAACGTTCTGCCAGGCTCATAGTCTTCTTGGTGCACAGTTGCAGCGACTGAAGCATTTGCCTCTGCTATCAGCACAGCGAGATCTGCAGACTGCACCAGGGAACCCGAAAGAACAGCAGGTGTTTTGAATTTGTCAAACTTCAGGTCCTCCTTGACAGGCCAGCGCCTGGTCAGGCTCCCAGAGCAGAAACCAATTGCAGTTTGCATTGTTTTATTTTCATTCTATTTATTTTTACTAATGTTTACTATTTATACGTATTGGTTGATGATAAACCTTTGATGAAGTTTTCTCCCTGTTTCGAGAGCTTCTTTTGGAGAGAGCATTGTTACTTGGGTCTTTAGATAGAAGATGTGCATTGATATGCACAGATATCATTGATATGCATAGATATGATAGGATAATTGGATTGTATTATGATACAATTGGTTCAGTTGGTCTTGGCATGTTTTGGCCTTGTCTTCCTTGTCTTCCTTGTCTTTGCTTGTTCTGTTTTGGTTCTTTGCTTGTTCGGTTTTGGTTCCGTACCTTTGCCTCCAACTCTGCAAGGTCAGAGCTGTGCTTGAAGTCGTGTCGTTGGGCTTGATCCGTACAGTGGAGGATCTCGAGGGACGATTTGCAAGGAGATGCACCGGGCACCTCATTGCCATTAAGATCCATTAAGTGCCCTATACAAAACAACTGTGCAGAACAGGTTGCACAATCCATCAAGAATAACCCTTTGTTCTCTTTCCTAGCAAATGATGAAATGAACAGCACTAATTGTCCTACTAGATACATAGCAATTCCACAGACACCCTGTTTCTGGATAGGAGTCTTCTGCGCTTTCATGAAGAGAAGCGAGATGCTCGATAGAAGCAATGCCAAGTTGCTCCATGACAGAATTGAGCATCCACCAATGCGTCACAAGAAGCATTCACCGATGTATTCCGTTGAAGTTTCTTGCACTTCTGCCAGTGTCACTCAGTCACATCACAAGGCCCAGTGAAGCCCATGCACTGCTCTGTGGTATGGCTGTTGGATCTCAGCCTGCCTTTTGCCGCTCCAGAAATATGACTAAGAATGATGAAAGTGAAAGAGACCTAGATCATATGTGTGTGTATATTTGGAGAGAGGTGGGGAGACCAAATGACACGCACAAAAACGTGCGCGCACACACACCCACACACACACACACCCACACCCACACCCACACCCACACCCACACACACACACCCACACACACGCACACGCACACGCACACGCACACGCACACGCGCACGCGCACGCGCACGCGCACGCGCACGCGCACGCGCACGCGCACGCCACACGCACACGCACACACGCACACACGCACACACGCACAAATGCATGTTCTTGAGTCTTGAGACATTCCTCTCGTACATACGATTTCACCAAATAATATTATATATATACATATCCATACATCATGTTTTTATCATTATAACATGTTGTAACACGGTATTTCACAGCAGTGCGTAGTGGATGGCAGTACATACATAGTACCTACAACCCCTCTTCCCCCCGCCTACTCTGGCCACTGCCTAACCGCCTAAGGAGGTTCCTGCCCCACTTCTCAATGATATACGAGAAGCCTTGTCCTACCTGAAGGCCTGACATGCAAAGCCATGCGCAAACATCTGATGCAGCTGAATGCAGAGTGCTGAAAGGCACAGAAACTGGTGAGAGGTGATGAAGTTAGCGTCACGACCTCAGCATTCGGCATCTATCCTGGACCTAGTCCATAGTCCATAGTCCACAAGATTTTTACGGTTTGGCTCATGCAAAGTTTCTTTGCCACATGTTTTCTATGAGTTGCCCTCCGTGTAGTTTTGTCCGTTCTCAGCGGTGGGTGCAACGAGTTCTCAGGACAGCGACCGAACGGCCTTTGGCTCATTTGGCTCACCTGTTGCAGGCAAGGTTCAAGTTTGCCGGGCTCAAAATAGATGCACTTTACATCACTTTACAGTGACTTTACATCACTTTACAGTGACTTTACAGTCATCACTTTCGCGATTCTTTACCAATTGGGAAGGCCATCCCAAAGAATTCGAAAGGAATCCGTGGCTACGGATTGTTTAGCCGCGGAAAACAGAAAACTTTGGACAAGACTTCTGTGTATGTCATGAATATGGAGCAGACCCTGCGCAGCTCGCGAAGCTAGGTCCCATAGGTTTTGTTTGGCTTAGATAGGGTATGGATAGATATGGCAACTCAATCTCCCGCTGCCCAGTGTCCTCCTGACAGTTTACTTTGCTCAATAATGCGCAATAATATGAGTTTTTCGTTTTGCTCATGAACTTTTGTTTTTTCATCCTGTTTGACGTGTTCACCTCTCTTGGTGTCCTTCGGTATGTGGAATATGTAATAAAGGTTCATTCAGTTTGTAGATGTTTGTAGAATATGTTTTTATTTTTCTCTGTTTCTTCGGTCCCCTGAAAAGCTACTGTTTGATCCTGGCTATGTTTTTCTTGCTGGTTCCGTCTACCGCAGTATCAGGAAGACAAGGGCGCCATTCTCCAGTTTTTTTTTGACAGGTAACAATTCTGCGCTTTTTTTCGGGGGCCTGGAAGGTCTCCCAAATTCTACGTCTGTCTACTTCTATTGGATCTTTAATATTTTTTAATCACATTTCTAAGGGTGGTGAATATACGCCGCATGCCGCATGCCGCATGCCCGTGGAGTTGCAGTGCAGTGCCAGCACTGCCTGGCTCCTCTTGGTCTGGGTGATTTCATCCTTGTATGCTAGGGAAATGGAGCAGGTTCCATGCCGAGCAGCGTTATTCAATTTAATACACAGCGCTGCAGGTTCCAGTCCTTGTCAGAGAAACCCTGCCTCCGCCTCAATCCGGCTCAATTAGCTGATTTCAGAAATCACCGGTGGACCGTGGATTTTTCTGGCAAAGTTCAAACCAAGGCAATGCTGATGGCAACACCCCTTGGTGATGGCGTTGTTCATTCTGCTCTCCGTCCTGCCGAGGTGTCAAATGTTTCTCAGGTAATATTGTAGAGAAGGTCCTCTTGGGAAAGCTGGTGGGTGTGAAACACAGCGCATACAAAAGGATTGACGCTAGATGCCTGTCCCATCTTCCCCCTTTTGGTTTTAAGACGTCAATTGAAGTCGCCACAGTATTGCTGTTTGATTTAAGAATGTTTGAAGTGGATCCAATGCACGCAGGCCCTTAGTGTGTTTGAAGATTTGCAACGCGCACGACAAGGCTTGTGCATGAAGCTCAGTCAGGGTTTGCGTTCAGTTTGCTTTCGAAAGTGGTGGCTGTATGTGGCTTTCGCATTTCAGCAGAGAAGGTAGGGCCTCAAATCCTGATGCACGTTTATTGACAGACAGAACAAATTTGTAGACTGAAGTGCTTCGGCAACAACTGATTTCTTGCTGCATTTTTGGAAGTAGACACTGGTGCACGCAAGGAGACAAGATATATTATGTATTATTTATCTATAGATATAATATATATATATACTTGCCTTGTGTCGAGCGTGTTTATTTCTGGCCCATGATTTCCCTAGGTTTGGACTCTGATTTGCATCTCATTTTCCTTGTGACACCAGCAACCAGCATTGAGCCTGCTCTAAGCTTAGCCGGATGCTTCGACTACCCCAGCACCTTTTAAAACGGCTGACTTGGTGTGACTTTGTGTGACCTGGTTGAACTCTAGGACTGGTCGCGGTACATCTCTTACTATGAGAAGCTCCAGCAGCGGGACAGAGTTTGAAACTTAGATCAACTCTCAGCAGTGTAAGAACATCAGGGACCTGAGCCTTGGCGGTCTCTTACCATGCGTCAAAGCAACGAAGCCATATCAAGCCTGGCATGACATCGCAGATCATGACAGGAAATCGATAATGACACAGACGTGATTTTACTCTTCCCATCTTTTGCCCACTTTGCTCCACTTCTTTGGCGACTAGACATTTTAACAAAACTGCGGCCAGGCGGTAGCAAATGCTGTTGGTGTCTCGCCTGACTTCCTTCTCAAGCAGGCCCTGAAGTTGCCGCAACAGCCGAGAAGAGACTGGAAGAGACTGGATTTGCTCGCTCCAGCAACGTCCTGCAACCAAAACCCATTGCTGAAAATCCCATATTGCTTCCGCGACATGTTGTGAAGCTTTGAATGAATGTATTTTCAAATCTTGATTCAATTGTTTTTTTTTTGCACCCTCGTCACAGTCAATGGGGCACCGCGGGCCGCTGTCTTCCAGCAATGATTGGCGACAGGAGCCAAGTGCATTTCCAAACACTTGATGCCTGTGTCTCATGGACTTGGAAGAATTCATATGATGGCTTCCACGCAAACCCATGCATACAATACACACAAAATTAGACGCGGCAACTTACGGTAACGTCCTTGTCTACCGTATTTCATTTTGATACATGTTGTATTTTCTACGGCATTGGCTAAGCATTGGGGTCGACTGGATTCAGCATGCAGGATCGCGAGCGAGTAACGGCCTTGTCTGAGTCATAGCGGGAAGCGCAAAGAATACAGAGAGACCGCAAGCTTTCACCTGCACCATCCTGCACCATCCTGCACCTGTTGATATTGTACTTGTTTCAAATTTTGGACAGTCTCGCTATGTCTCGCTTGTCTCATCGACATGTCTCAAGGCATCGACGCTTTTGGGCTGCCTTGGCTCTCCGGGAGTTGACAATGGAGACATCTGCCAGTCGTTCGCGTCTTGGCAAATCATGACAGACTGACCGACAAGTGCAACCTATTCGGACCTATTCGAGATTGTTGAGGAATGTGCAAGACCTATCAGTGTGATGGCTGAGAATCGACAATCAAACCAAAATGGTAACAATGGTTTTTACATATTAACCTATGCTGGAGCGCCTGGGGGTATGCCCTGAGTCAAGCTCATGGTTCATGGTGTTTCTTCCATCGCGAAGAACATTCCGTACCGCAGGGGTGGCATCAGCCTTCGCTGCTTCCAGAGGATCACTGTGCTAGCCTTTGGCACTGAAGTTCAAACCTGGCCCTGAGATGTCCTGAGATGCCTTAAGTCATCAGATAATTTGTATGACATTGTGTGACACATTTGACCAGTGCAGATTGATTCAAATTGATCCTTTGATTCGATGTGGAGCATGGGATGGTGCAGTCACAGGGCTGCATGGCAAGGCAGTCCCTGCAGAGTTTGGCCGCAACCTACTGTGGCATGGTGTAGAGCCGAAAAATGCTGTCTCTGCTCTGTGTTGCAAACAGAACATGTGGAAACAGTGCAGCTTGCACGGCTTGCACGGCTTGCACAGCTTGCACGAGCCACATTCTTCCGAAGTATTCTTTGGGCTTCGTGCGGAAGAAACTAGTGGATAATCCTGCAGTGATGTCTCAGCTTGTCATGAGGTGAGACAACTGTGCGAGCGCTTGCGCTGGCATGAAATGGTTTCAGACTTAGTTCAGGATTGAGAGCTCAGACAGCACACATCTGTCTCTGTATGTGTGCAAATCACTATAATTATAATATTTATGGGAAGATACAGTTACATATTCAAGACTCAAGACATAACACAGCGGTTGCAAACTGCGGCTTCTCTGCACTCTGCTGAAGTGTGGTTGATCCTGCACCGCTACACCAATTCGCTAAATCGCAGCAAAACCAGCACAACTGGCATCTCAAATAGTTTGCATCGCTTGGATTTCATCTTACAGTTGCCTTTGGCCTTGTCACAGGTGATTGAAAGACCCGGGATTCCAATGGATTCCATAAATGTTGGGTCGCACTGTACAGTTGCACTTCATGATTTGGCAGCGAAGTTTCTGCAGGCTGCGCTTTTCGATTGTTTGATGCCTCGCTTGAACTTTGGCGTTTCAGCAGAGGTGAGACTTTCTTGCTCATGTCAAGAAAACACAGAACAACTATATGACTCTATAGTACATGTATTCCACTTCAAGTCAGTACTCCTGACTTCATTTTTGCATTTGGTCGTTTTGTTGCTGGGCCCTGGGCCTCGACTCAAAACTGCGGCTAGGCTTTGCCACTATGTCGTATTCCAGCAGCCCGGGCCTTGAAACTGCAAGTGCCAATCGAAGAGATTCGAAGAGCATTGCAAAGAATCTCCGGACCACCGTCTTGTTACAGTGCAGTTGCTCAACGGATCTCAAAGGATCTCAAAAGATCTCAAAAGATCTCAAAGGCAACAAAAAGGCATAGTTAGGCCCAGTTCTGCTTGCAATAGCGGGCTTTGCGCAGTTTGCTGAATCAGGTTTACCCTAGCCGAGCAAGAGCTCTGTTTCAGGCTCAATCCCAATTATTGAGTTTCTAGATCAGGAGACAGACGAAGTATGAAGGAAGGATTTCATAGAAGATTTCATCACTTGCGTGACATGGTGACAGGTGTTGCTGCATGCTTCCTTGTTCACTCTAGATGGGCTATGCTGGGCTGAATCAATGGGAGTGTACTTGGAAAGGCTGGCCTATCCTCGGTGGAAGAGGTTGCCGAGCCCTTATTCAAAGAGTTTTCTCATGCCAACAGTGCGTGGCTGCTGAGCCGGGTGGAATGACTGCTTAAGAATCGTATCCTCCGCAATAGTGGTTTTCTTTCAACTCACTTTTTCAGTCAAACACTGCCTGAATCAGTTCTAAGCCCATAATGGAAAAGCAACTTTCATACCCGGGGAGGGAGAGAGGTTGAGAGAGAGAGAGAGAGTGCAAAGCTTATCTGTTTATAATTCTTATGTCTGAGTTTCTATCCAACCATCCACCCAACCTCGCAACCCCCTACCCAATGTTCCCTAGACATTACCCTCTTTTTGGCGACTTTGAAAATGTAGCAGCTACGTATTGCTCCATGCGTTTTTTCCACATCCACCCAACACATGTAGTACATCCACTTGTCTAAAATGGTCTAAGCTGTATGGAGCTTTGCCCGCCTTAGCTGAGCTGTATCTTGAGGCAAAGTCATCAGTCATCACAATCGAAGCTGCTTTGCGAAAGCTTTCTCAATTCGAGTCATGTCGCTGCGACCTCAGCTCAACATGCAGTCTCAGCTTTAGACCTGCACGGCTCTGCACATAGCTCCATAGCTCCAATAGCTCGGGTTTAAAGAGATACCTTTTTGACATGTTTTGACATGATTTTGACACGGTGTACTCGTAGCAGCTAGTGTAGCGAGCTAATGCCATGGATGCTAATCGAAGCTTCCAAGAGCAAAATCTACCATGAATTGTCGAATTGTCATCATTGCCCAGGTACTGATGCAGAACTTGCGCAGCATCAAGAGGCACATTTCTGTCAGCCTTCACGCCTTTGCATTGCACGTGACATGGTCAAGTGTCTTCACGAGAGTCCCATGGAAAGAAAAGTTGCATGTGACCACGCTACCGCAACAATCAAAGCTGTGGTGAGGCAGTCACTCGTCAGGCAGCTGTGAAAATTCTTCATGGTGCGCTGGGATCTTTGGCTTTGTCCTTCTTTGGGCTGGAATGAAGGTCAAGATGACGAGTCTTTGGCACCCACGCCAAGATTATTAGTTGCAGATGCTGAATTGATCAGAACTGACCAATTTGTTTTGCACACAAGCCACTTCACTCACTTGGCTGAGGCAGCAGTGCCTGAATGATGATTTGCAGCAGTTGGAGGTGGACAGATGTCACACAGTGTCTCACAACATGGCGACTTCGAGAACTCCTCAAAGTGCCAGGACGAAGCAGAAGATGAACATGCACGCAGCAAGCTTATATTACATTGACTTTGAAAAGATGGACATGGACTCCAATTGCACCACCACACAAGGTGATGATACATGAATATTATACAGTTTACTAATATATATATATATAATTATATATATACACATATAATCGTATATATATATATGTATTCTATATATATATACACAATCATATATAATATATACTATCTATATTCTTCCATGCTCTTTGTCTAGTCTTGCCTAGTGTTTAGATCTCTGTTTAGATCTGTTTAGATCTGGTAAGCGGACAAAGATGGACAGAGTAACTTTGAACCTTAGGCCCTAGCAAACTTGCAAGAAACTCGGCCTGAGGCATTCAAAGAACAGCATGACGAGTGCAAACATGTCACAAGGCGATGACAATCTAGAAGGCTGGGGCAGATTGGGGCAGAGGGTTACAAAGTTCCCAAGTGTTTGGCGTTTTCGTCTTCTCTGTTTTTATCTTGTTCTCTGAATGTCTTCTCTGTTTGGCATGTTTCTGTTTCGGAAAGATTTGGATCAAGATGAACTAATAAAGCTTATTTGTCATTCTTTTCGATGCCTTTCTGAGTCACGTTTTGACAGGCGTGGGCCGTGTTGGGCCATGCTTGGCCGCGTTGGTGATGCCCACAACAGACGACACGTGCGTTTGTGGCAGTCACATTGTTGGCCTTCTCGAGCCCAAAGCATGCTGCTGCTAGTTGGAGCCTCAACAGTTTGTGTCTTAATTTAACAGGGTTGTAGACATGTTGAGAATTGTTGCAGATAGTTGCTATCTAGGTGGTAACATCATGTAACATCATTGTAAGACGTGATGAACATGAGAGGAATTCGTGAAGCTATCTAATGCCCATTCACTGCATTTCACTGCCAGGAACGACGCTGCTCCACAATGCAGAGGCTTGGGACAGGGCTTGGCAGATTGAGAGCCTCCGAAGAGTCGAAAGATGTCGAAAGATGTCGAAAGATGTCGAAAGATGTCGAAAGATGTCGAAAGATGTCGAAAGCTTTGAAACGCTAGGAGCTCAACAGGCATTCTGACGTTCGATCCGAGCCGTTCGATCTGAGCCTGGCATGGCTTTTGCATTTCGGGTGTACTTCTACCATCTTCTTCGAGCGAACACATTCGCATTATTTCGGATTTGTATCATTTCTCTTCCAGATCTCCAAGATCTGGGGAAATACCTGAAAGATCCTGAAAGGATTTTCTGCAGATAACATGTACAGTGCATCGGTCTGGACCTCATAAATTCGTTTCATTCGGTCTTTGCCAATTTGGTGAACGTAGCTGGTATCCAATTAAGCAGAAATGCGGTAATTAAAGCAGAGAAATGCTTCTAGGGCGAAAAAGGGTGGCTTTCAGATGCAGATCTGGGTGGAGACTTTCTCAGGGGCAGCTCAGTGAAAGGTGTAGAGATGTGTAGAGTGTTGCAGGGTGGTTTATGTCAAAGTCCAGTGCCCTCCCCGTCAGTGTTGAGCGTCCCCTTTCCTTATTTTTGTATATTTTTGTAGTGTGAAAGGATTCCCGATAATCATAATATATATCTGAATGGTTTTGACGTTTTGACTCAATTTTACTGGCAGCATTTCAGCCACAGAAATTGCGCCTTTGTAGGATGTCGGACTACGCTAAGATACCTACAACGGTTCAGTGAGGAAGATTGTTCAACCATGTTCAAGCAATTCATTTGGAATTTGAACTGTCGTAGTACTCCTTCGACTTTCGTTGTTGAACAAGTAGACATATTGTGTCTTTGATGTCTCTCGAGTTGAGAACTTGCAGGTCTGGAGCAACGATATTGCACCTTTGCTGTTTGGGCTTCAGTTTGTACGAAGAGCCTCCACAAAACAGCCATGAGGACAGCATGCCATTGCTCGTTGCTGCAGAGTTGACCAGTTTTGTTTTTTAAGCCGTGGAAGCATAGGGGACAGTGTTTTGATGTGCTTTGCGTGCTTGTTAATTATTCAGTGCCCAAAGGTCCCGTTCCTCAATGGTCACATTCTTCATGATTCTTCAAACTGTGAATGGAACTCAGCTGAACAGGCTGAACCCAGTGACAGACTCGTTACCTCATTTCACGCATTTTCACATATTTTCACGCTATTTCACCGTATTTCACGCTAGCGTGGCAATTTTTGTTGATTTTGTCAAAGTGTCAGGCGACATGGCATGGCACTGCGAGAGGCAGGCGAAGGTGCTCATGCCGATGCAGCCCGATGCAATGGGGAAGTGACAAACGAACGCGCGAAGGGGAAGTAGGCGAAGTACTGTAAGTCATGGAGTTCGTATGAGTTGGTAATGGTTTAAGGCAAATGCAATGCATAACACAAGCATCATGATCATAATCAAAGATAATCAAAGAATGTTCTTGAGTTAAATGAAGACATCCGTCCTATTCCATCCCTGTTCTTGTATCTTCTTGTTTTCACTACAAAAGGGAGAACACGTGCTTGTTACAATGCCTTTGCACAGGTTGGTTTCAGGTGTCCAGATTTGATGCCGGGCAACTCCATTTGCAGAATCCTCCCCCCAACCCATCTCGGACTGATTTTGAATGGTGCTGCAAGGGGGTTGTTGAAGGTCAGGAATGCATATAGCAGCATTGTTTTTATATGTTTTTATTCAATTTTATTATATTTTATTCAGTTGTTTGAAAGTCAAGCACAAACAAAATTAAGAGTCCATCTTGTAGCACATCCATCCCCCTCAATCAAAACATGCTTATTATTCACGTCGCTTCGCGACGGCAACCGCCCGCACCGCATCGTAACTGCCAATGATGTCGACCAATGAGACCAAAAACATCCGAAAGTACTGATTGTCGGAAAAAAAAACGCGAAGAATTTGATAGCCATGTATAGCGGACCAACGCAGTTCAAAAAATAACGAAAAACATGAAAAAAACGGCGAAATTGCTGTTATTTACAGTGTTTTTGCGCGGTGAGAAGCAGAAACCACTGCAAATACCATGGTTTTTGAGGGTCAGGTGGCCAAAAACACTGTAATTTACAGTGTTTTTTTAACCAACGTCAAAAAGCACTGGTATTTACGATGTTTTCATTCACACCGTAACATAAAACAGCGTAATTTACGAGGTTTTTGGAAGTTTTGAAGCTAGCCGTCAAGCATGCAGAAAACAGAAAAACACTGTAAAAACCAGTGTTTCTGCTATCACAAAACGACGAAAATCAGTCCGAAAACGGGTCCAAAAACTCAAAAATCCGCCTCCGGGCCCGGCCACCTGCGGAACCGCAAAAAAAGATGTTGCAAACCAAAAAAATGAGGTCAAAAAGTTGAAAAACACGGTTTTTTTTCACTTTTCGCTTGCCGATTTTGGACGGGCGCGTTCACGAACAGGTGTCTTCCGTACTGTTTTTTACAGTGTTTTTTGAAGGCGAGCGTCACGACCTATCAAAAACAGGAGGTTTTGGCCGAAAAATCCCCCCCCCCAGGTAAACCTGTAACCTTTTACGAGTGCCATCCGGACGATCACGCCCCAGCACCTTCGGTGCGGGCGGATTTCCCTCGGAACGGCCGGGGTCGACCTCCTGAAGAATGACAAATCAATGGAATTCAAGCTCTGAAACGTGGGGTTGGACGATGTTGGACGTACCATTTGTAGAGCCTTACCAGTTCGTGCGAAAGCGAAAAGCCATGAAAAGCCACTATAGACTCTAGAGATCTCTAGAGATCTCTAGAGATCTCTAGAGGCCATTTGTGGAAAAGGAGCTTGCCAGACCCTTCCAACTTGCCAAGACATGTCACCTTGTGGAGGCGCCATGCAAATGTACAGCACAAAAGGATCAAAAGGGTTTCAAACAAGAATCGCATTGCACAAAATCTGGAACACTGCAGCTTCCCAAGCTTGCCCTTTGGGTATTTTGCAGCCACATGCGGTGCTTGTGCATTCCCATGTGGTCTGTTCGAGGTTTTGGATGTGTTTTTTGGTTGAACCACCAGGTCCCTTCCTTTTGTAACTTTTGTACTTTGTATATTTTTGTTGTGTGCCTCCAGCCATCTGAAAATGATGATTCAGCATGCAAAGCAGGGAGAAGGAACCGGCCCACACCACGCACAGTGCATGGCTATAGTAGGCTTCAATTATCATCTATCCAACATCCAAGAGTATCTTAAAGAGAAATTGAGGAAGTGAAAGTTCTTTCAAAAAGATATTGTCGGTATTGTATTGAAGGCAGCTGCAGGAACTGGAGGAACCCAAAGATTTCAATGGAACATTACCAAATATGTCTGCGTATGGTTGCGTAGTTTTTTTTTGTATAATTAATATTGTCAGGTTCTGGCTACCTTGAAACCACTCTCCATCCAGAACCACCGAATGCTATAAAATATGCATTGTGTGTAATTATGCGTAATTCACATTGGGAGATTCTGGCTCTCTTGACAAGTCCCTATCCATCCAGAAGCCCCCAAAACTAAGATCAGAAACCCAAGACCAACAAACATTCAACCAAGCAAAAACTGCAAAGCAACCAACCCCGCCCTGATCGGAACCGAACGAAATGGCGATGGCAAGACGGACCAGCATCTAACCACCAACAAACCGCAACTGCCGAAACCAGGATTCTGTCTTAAGACTTCTGAATCGGACTGAACACTCAATGACCCAATGTGAGTTTGTAGGACACTGAGTTTACAAGAAAGATCGATTTTGCCATTGAAGTGGGTGAGTGAACTGGATTTAGGGGCCTGGAGAAAGGCAAATGTGATTTTGTAGCGCAGTGATGGGTTCTGCCAGAGAATGGCAGCTACAAAAGCCCAGTGCACAACTTAACCACTGAAAAACCCAGGAGGATAGATCGGATAGACGGACGTTACAATGCTGTGAGTTCACTGCCTTCCAGATCGATTAGATTTCGTATGCCAAAGGTTTCTAGTGCCAGTTTGATCACTGTCCAGTTGAAGACCCTCTCATTTCAAAAGCAGCATTTCCAGTTGATGCTGTGTCCTCATTTTCAGTTCATGAAAGGATTGGTAGTGTCGTCAGGAGAGAACTGTGTCCAGCATTTTCAAGCTGTCAACACAGAAGGTCTACAAATCTTAAGAACCAGACTCCCATTGGCTTTTGCACTCACTGTGCGTTAGAGTCAAAGTGCTACAAGCACTCTCATATACTCTTTTTAAATTTGACGTTTGCCCTCGGCGTTTGCTCATCTTAGTCGCTTTTACTTCTCAGTTTTTGGGTCTTCTTGAAGTAGTTCTTCCCTCTGCAGCAAGTTCCTCTCCTGGCCCCAAGATAGTCCCTAAGATCATACTAAGATCATACTAAGATCCCTAAGCTCCCTAAGATGATGTCATCTTTGATGATCTTTGATCATCTTTGGCCAGGTCTTTCAGGACCGATGCAGGAGAACGAAGTGCCTACAGTGAGTGTGTTGGGTGGCTCAGGACCCGCTGCGGGCGCAAAGGCTTCAAAGGCGAATGCACAGAGACCTTCACTGAGACTTCAGAATCTTCAGACTTTGTCAAGAGCTGTAGAGAGTCGTCTTCTGTCGTCTTCTCCCTGTCTGCGTAGGAGTGCATAGGTGGAAGTTTTTTTTGCATTTAGATGTTCTAGATGCATAGGGCATCACAGGGCATTACAGGGCATCATATGGCATGAGGGTTTCATCATACCACTCTTGGAGACAGCTGCCATTTTCGGGCAACACTCTCAGGTTGTCCACAAAGGGTGTGACGAGCCAGGCAGACATGCACCGACTGGCGTCGGTGTATATTATATATATACACATAATTATATAATATATACATAATTATATTATATATATACATAATTATATATATATAGACATACAAATCATACTTCATCCAGTTTTCCTTGGAATTTATATGAATCTGATAATCAGCTGATCATCAGCACAAGTGAGCTCATCAACTTACATGATCTTTATGTCGTTGAACATGTTTGGATATTTTTTGTACCACAGCTGTCAAATGTTGATCTCTTCCTTGCCTCCTTGTCCAGGTATGCGAGCCAAAGGAGCTGCAGCCAAAAGAGCCAAAGGAGTCTGGAACTGAGAAGAATTGACATAAATTGAATATACATTGGGCAGTGCCAGAAGGTTCAGGATTCAACTTAGACTGCCAAGATATGCCTGGATATGCCAATTCAGCGAAGTCAGGGGTCCATATCCCAACAGTTCCCAAACTGTAACAGCCCTGGGAGGTACTGGACACAAGCTATAATTTCATAGACAGTTTCTGGAAGGCTTTCCATGTGGTTCCAAATCATGTAGTTCTGCATGGTTCCAGGTGGGGGCTAAGATCTCAGGATATCACTGCCTAGTTGACAGCACAGATTCAACTCAGGACTTACTGTAGTTTTCTACTC